GTGTTTTGTACACTTGCACAAAACTATAATTAATGAATTTAAGTACATCAATTTTTTGCATAGTGCGGGTTCCACCAATATCCCGGACTATTTGAAACCGGACTACATTTACAATTTATTTCTAATGAAAGTTAAGTAAATTAGTTTGCAATTCGGTATAAGAATTATTATATCCAATAAGTTACTTACAAGTTTGTCCATTTTTATTTTGAAAATCAAATGTTTGCTACACTCGCACAAAACACACTATGGTCCTTTTTTGGCAATAGTCGGTGGAGTTTATAATGATTCTGCAAATCGATCGAGGAACTGATGAATGTGTAGTTTTTTTTTGCTGTCGCACGGTTCGTTGTATCGGATGGTCTAGGTAGGGGATTCTATTCGAAACAATAAAAAATGCAGAGGAAATTCATGTGGAGAGGCCGAGGGTCAACGGGAGCTCGTGGGGACTTCTTAGTATGCTGGATGGTACCGTGGGTCATCTTGCGAAACGGAATCCGAATCGGATATACGCGACCGCGGCACGTTACCATTGACCGCGTAATCTTGACACTGAAATTTCGCATGCATTTTAAATCTCTCGCAGCAGTTTCATTTCAATAGCACCAAGGAAAAGTGTATTACATAATACCGTCCGTTTACCATTTTCTTGTAGTTTTATGTGTTCTTTCGAGAACAAACGAAACAAAACATGTAATAACCAGAAACATGCAAAGATATATTGCAATATGTATAGAAAATACTTTATTTATGGTTTACAAATTTAGCTTATTACAACTTTGTTATCAAGCTCCAGTAGATTGCAGTAGATATGATAATAATTAAATTTGGTATAGGCAATTTATTTTTATTATTAATAATAACAATATGTATTGCAACAAATATACAATTTCATAAATAATTACAGTTACAAAAAGCTAATTAATTTTAATTAAATTATATTAAAGATTTGTGATCCGAAATGAATCCTCAAGATCATATTATTAATCATGTCCGAAAAGCTCCCGTAAAGCACTTAACAAATGCGACGAGAATGTTTGAGTAATATAGTTTCGAAATACTATTGGTCACATTTAGCATATGCTTCCATGAATTTGTTTCCATCGTGTCTCATTCGCCCTCGGACTTTCGATTCCGATGGAACGATTCGAAAATAAGAGATACGACACTAATTGGAATCATGAATGAAATTTGACAAAATGTCCGAAGGAAAATGAAGATCGCATGCGTCATCATTACAAGCTTTTCATGGTCGTCATGAAACACACAATGCAACTCGATTACAGAAAGAAGTACGAAATATCTGCTTACGTTTTCCTTCTGCATCGGCTACTCTTTTCTTATTTTTTTGTTTGTTTGTTTATTTTCTTGATGAAATTCCGCATTACCATCCGTTGAAGGTTTTTCAGTCAACTAATTTACTTAATGTTTCTTTTGAAATAGATTCTTGACGTATTGCTACACCAACACTGTTCCTGATATGAAACATACATGTTTGTAAGGCATACCAATTACAATATTATACACTTGGCATATCAAAATTGATAATGTGAATACATTATCTTTCACTTATATGAAAAATACTTTTTTTATAATCTATGATTGTAACGACATTAAATATAATTATTAATATTACAAAATTATTGTTAACTTAGTTATGCTTTGTTTACATAAAACATTTAAAGCAGGTATCGAAAGAAAAAAGTCCTATTTTAGAACTCCGAAATTTAAACATGATACATATTTCAAATTAAATGACAAAATTATACATTTTTCTTGTGAATCTATAGCATATTTTTTTCAAAATAACTCTTTAAAGAGTTATTATTTTTATTTTGCATAAGTATACAAGATTTTGATCTTATTTCATTTTAAATATTGTTTTTTCTTGAATCTCTTTTTATCTGAAATGTTTATGTATATTTTGTATTCCATTTCAGTTGTAATTGATGTGTCAAACTAGAGTAATTCATTAAATTTGTAACAATATTATTGTATATTATCTACTTCAGACAGTAATAAAAATAAAATATTAGTATTAATAATTCTTATCGCTTTAAGAGATTCTCCAGCATAAATTTACCTTGTTTTGCTAAAAATATCAAGAGACAAGTATATTTGTCAAATACCGCTTAAACGACTCTAATTATAATTACAAATTCAGTTTGCAAGAAGACGTAGCTTTGGAAAATCCCTCAGTAAAAACAAATAATCGAACGTCCTTTACCTAAGTCCATATTAATCATGACATGATAAACATTATTAAATTAAAAAGGCGTGTGTAGTAATCATTTACTAAATTGTAGGCTATATTAATATTTCAGACAAGAGTTATTTCTAAATCGCGTTTCTAAATTCGAAATGGATACCCTATTTTTGAAATGTTAAAAGAAATTCTAATCAACTTGTGTTTTGTTTCAATTGAAAGAACATTTTCAGTATAAAATTGCATCCTACACTTTGCGTGATTTATATTACAATTCGATTTGAACTCTATGAAAGTATTTGTTTGTTTATTCAATAAATAACGTGCATTGCGATTAGATCACTCGCGAAAGAATGGGGCTCTAAACTAGATTCAACTACCTACGCGTCACGTAGTATTGAAAGAAGAAAATACGAGATACATACATGTATGCTGGCAGCATGTTGATCCAAAGAGAGCGTTTGAATTCAGCTGAAAGTTACATAAATTAGAATGGTGCATCTCAGCAACACCGTTACTATTGAATGTGTATCAATAAAATATATAATGAACTCCACATAAACTCCAATTTTACTAGATTTTGCTACCTTTACGTTATTTTTTATCAGTAGTAATCATCAAAAAATATAAAGAAGTGCTTGTGTTTATTAGGAGCAAACGATGCTAACATCTACGTTTACTATTGCAATTCAATAATTAATTATACAAAAACGCTCCCAATTAGCTTTGAAATGTTATATAAATTGAAGATTTTGATATTCAAAAACCATAATTAAGTATTTGATATTTTTATTAATTGCATTATAGTCTATTTATATATGTGACTACTTTGTTATAGCATCTTGGACTATGACTGCAAAAAGTAAAGACGAACGAAATTCATTGTACGTCAACATGGAAGATTAGACTTTCGATCTTCACTTAAGTTCAATGACCCTATTAGCAATATATCGACTTATTTCTGAGTAATATAGTGTGTAACGTTGAGAAACTCTGCTGTAGAGAGGATATAAACAATACAAAAAAAAATAGTGAAAAGAAACTGCCATTATCTCATATGGCAGTGAAGAGCCGTATTAAATATGCATTATACAATGTGTCTGTCCACACGGCGATAATATATATAATGGAATGAAACAGCGACCTTGTTCAAGAGGTTTTAACCCGGATTTCGCTGCTGCTGCTTCGCGGCGGCAGCAAAAAACAAGAAGCGAACCAGGATTGTTGCAATGCGGGTGTTTATTTGTTCACTTTTTCATTAACAACGTGCATTATTTATTTACATTATGAATAATAATAAAATTCTTGTTGATTACGATGAGAGCGAATCGGACTGAACAAATAATATAATAATAGGAAACAAGTATTATCATAATTAATAATAATTAAAGCGCGCGCGCTTTATGTGTCTGACCTTTAAACGAAGTTCTGAAACAATCAGACCGTGTCTACGTCAATTCTTGCGCAAAAGGGGATATAGATTTTTCATTACTTCGCCTTTCGAAAGCCTTATTATTCCATCTTCATTGCTCTGTCCATTGTTTGGATCGATGGAAATGCGTAATTCTGGGATAGGATATTGCAGATTCAGCAACAAATCATCAATATAATCAATTGCAGATCGTATCTCTTTGATTGGAATAATCAATTGCGGAATGTTCTTTCGAATACAACAAAAAAAGATACTACTACCCAAGTAAATAAATAAATCTTTTCGATTGCTGCAATGGGTCAAGGCACGGGCGTCGTCAAAAAAAAAGCGAACACCTTTATTATTCTCCTTGTTTTTACTCATTTTCTTACAATTCATTCATTCGGATCACATTTCATCCTTCGCGTGTTTGCTAATTTCAAATCCCACCCACAGTCGACCAACGCTGGACGTTTCCTTAATTTGAGTGAAAACGTGTCGCATACAAATGATGTACAACCGAGTTAAATTGATTTACTTTTTGCAAATATAATAGTTATTAACTAATTAATAATTTTGTTTATATTTTATTAATTAGGTCTTTGTTAACTTGTTTTCATGATTTGTTTTTTATAAAATAATAATAAACATAATTTATTGAATATTTGCGATTTTTTTTAATTTTTTGTTGTTATCATCTTATATATAATTTTGTAAAGACAAATTGTAAATGCAGCTTTTATTGTTTAGTAGAAGAATATATGTAAAAGTAAAAAAACTTTATATTTCCAATATCAATTTTGATTCTTCTAGTAATTGTTTTGTGGGGCATATTTGAATTTAGAATCAATTAGAAATGATTTTGGATATTAATTGTACATAAATATAAAATGAATCATAATGAACGATTTTTATTCTATAAATTACTATTAAAAACAAATTTATATTATAATAGAAAATAATTCATACCTAAAATTCTAGAATGTGCTCTTGACTGTAAAAAGGTTGGGGATCCCTACTATAGGTAATTGGTTTTAAGAATTTATTACAAATGTACGTGACGAACACATTTTTTCAATTACGTTTCAAAATAAATGCTTGTATTCTTATACAAGCATTAAAATTATATAATTAAATAATATATTAATATTAAAACCATAAATAAATGTCCAAATTGGGCTGGATTACTGTATATATTTTTTCGTTATTTTTATATTAAAATATAAAAGACTTTCGAAAAATCTAAAATATATTATTTATTTGTTTGAATCTTATTCAATATAGAATGATTTTAATTGTAAGATGAAATATCATAACAACTTTATTAGTTTAGTAATTAAAATCTGGTGTCCATTAATAATGTGATTATTTCTTTTGTTGTAGCTTCGCGTGCCACTTAATATAAACTTCAGAGCTAAGCAGAAGGACCTTATTGTGAGCCTTACGAAGAAGCATCTGAAATGCGGAGTAAAAGGCCAAGATCCTATCATAGACGACGATTTTCCATATGAGATTAAATTAGAGGAATCAACGTGGGTCATCGAAGACGGCAAGCAGCTGCTCATAAATCTTGAAAAAGTTAACAAGATGAATTGGTGGCCGAAACTTGTCGTTTCCGATCCCGACATCAGCACCAAAAAGATCAACCCTGAACCGTCGAAGTTGAGCGACCTGGACGGCGCAACCAGAGGTTTGGTGGAAAAGATGATGTATGACCAGAGACAGAAGGAATTGGGATTGCCCACAAGCGAAGATCAGCAAAAACAGAATGTACTTAAAAAGTAAGTCCATCTTCCGGTAATGAATCATATAGATTGTGAAAATAATTTATTATTCTTTTCAGATTCATGGAACAACACCCAGAAATGGATTTCTCGAAATGCAAATTTAACTGAGATACCTCACCGTTCAAGTAATTAAATAATTGTTGATCAATATTTATGATACTTTACACAATTTTAATTATCCTTTTTTATATTTCATCATGATATATCAATTTTTTTGTTTTATATTACAGAAAAGGATTTTTTGTTCGCTTTTTTTTTAATAAATAAATTTGCAACTCATTAACCATTGCCTTTATTAATGTAAATGAGAAAGTGTAATAAAAAATGTAATAAAATATGCTTTTTTTCGACAAATCCCTATGCCTGCGCCTACTCATCCATGCGTTTAATTATATGTACAAAATGTTAAATGCATTTTTTTTCTTTTAAAATAACAACATAAAATACAAATGAGTAACGAGTTAAATATAAAATATGTTTAATTCAATAAATATACTCTTAATCTTTAAGGAAATGTACAAGAAGGGATAAGATTAAAACTAATAGGGCGATTGCTGTTCCGATAATGTACATGAATTTGTTAGTATCCGCAGCCATATTTGGCAATACTTCGTTGCTCCCACCTTCAGACATTTCATTGTAATATTCTGCCAAGTCCACAGGACCTTCGACATCTTTAATCGCGCTCTTTGTTTGAATAGTTATATCCAATATATCTTGAAGAGATAACACTGTCTCTTCGACTCCTTCTCCAGGAAACAAGTAATCAGTTAGCATCACCTTTGATCCCGACAAAGGAATTAAAACACGTCTGGGCGGCTCGTGGATGCTACTTGAATCTATAAATATCAAGTTATTATGTAATATTAATTATAGTTATAAACAAAATATTACCATTATAGTTTCCTTCGCCTTCAGTTAACGAATCAAAATGCATTGAGAGCCTCGATGTTAGGCTTCTGATAATATCTTCGTGAATAGCATCTGACGCCTTCTTAAAGTTATATTTCGGATGTAACCAGACATTGCTGCATATCAACCCGGTAATTTTAAGAAAACCTTTGGCGTTGACAGTTTCCGCATTGATAATAGAGGATGTACAATTCTGAAATTTACAAAGTAATTAATATAACGAAAACAGCTTTAGCTATAAGCTAGTTACCAGTGGCATTAAAATAGAAACAGATACTGGCTTATCCTCAGCATCTGTCAGTTCTGCTTTAGACATCTTCATCTTCTTTAAAATAACTAAAGAATCTTCCTTACTTCTAACTTGTCCATTAAAGAGGTAAATTCCAGTTCTAAGGCAGTTATTAATTTTTCTAGCAATTTTCTAAAACGTGCTGATTAAAAATGGATACTTTTAGTAATCCAATTAGAAAGTTTACCTTCAGCTCATCTTTTATGGATAAATTCCTGTCTGTTATCAAAACAGTCTCATTTACCTCATAGAAGCATTCCAAATGCTCCCAAGCTAAATCTTTTGAATTGAAATTAAATTCTGCTGGAGTGCATGTAGATGATTCCAAACAATAAGTTGTTGCTGTATAGGTATTACTTTTCTTATTGTAATGAAGAACTAATTGCTCTGCATTTTCTGCAGATTTTCCATACAACAATTCATGTTTAGATAATGTGGAATGCATATGTCTAAGAATGGATTTAACTTTGGCTGAAAGTGGGTTAAGAACATGCTCCTCAGTAACTAAGAATATTCCCAGGATGTATATTCCTCCTGGCAACATACGGGTTGTATGTTTGGCATGATCAGCAACAACACCATCTGGTATATCTGCAATATTTTTAAAAGCTGTTGCTGTCTTCTCAGTTAAAGTGGGCATGGTCTTTGCCAGATGGACAACAAAGTCCTTCTTGCCCATGGACTGTAACATGAATCATTTGTTGACATATGTTTAGAATTGAAGGTTAATTGAGCTTACCTGTCCTAATATCAATCCAATTGTGCATGTTTTCGAGGAATTTAAATTACTTAAATAATCTAGCAGATCGGAATCCGCAACCGCAACACGGACCATTATATTTGAGTCGACTGTGAATTTTGGAATGAGCAGGAAAATTTGACGTGTATGTGTATATGGTTTAGGTATGATTATTGAGGAAATGAGGAACTTATGGCAAACAAAACACTTTGGCATATGTGCTTTATAATTTATGTACCATTGATAACTAATAAAACGAAACAATGATATTATTAATTAATTAAGTTTTATTTGTTTGATTAAATAGGATTACTAAATAAAATGTATTTTAATAAACGACTTAATGTCCGGATCGTGTATATAAAGTTGCATATAATATAGTTATTGACTTTTATTATAAGTTTGCAAATCTGGCAACACTGATGGTTGTTAAGTGAAAAAGCATAAAAAACTATTAATTTCATTGTATATGTTGAGCATTGAAGAAACGTGGGTGAAGAACAAGTTCGACGACATTTGTTCAATGGGATCTGCAGTCGAAAACAACCCGAATAATCAGAAACAGATTTCGAATCCTAGGAACGGAGGCGGTGGGAACAACAAGAAGGTTAACCGTCGTCGGCAAGTAGGGCCGCCGTTTATTCCTTTTAACCCACAAAACATGAGGCCGAGGCCTGGTTTCCCGCGGATGCAACCTCCAGGTATGAGACCGATGGGACCACCACCAGGTATTCGTCCGCCGCCACCTTCGATGCGAGGCATTCGTCCTCCACCTAGAATGGGTCCTCGCGGACTTCCAGGTAAATAAACAAATACTATATATTCTGTAAACATATAGCAAGTGACATAAATATTCGATAGTTAATTATCATTTAGATAATCATATATATATATAATGACGGCCTGGAATTGCTCCATGTATTATTGATTAATGGGATGAGTAGTGACAGGTAGATATAATTAGTCACATAGATTATTGATTGAATTTCAGCCTAACATTATTTTATATTTGTATATACTACCATAGTTACACAATAGCTTAGTTTTACTTTGTTTATATAATAACTCAATGTATATAATCAGTTTACAATTCAAAATCAAGCATGGTTCTGTTGCACATTCTTCATTCACACATTGTATTTCTCACATGACAAATCAAACAGGTAGAAGCTATATGTATTGATAAATATGGACTTGGTTTTAATTGTAATTTAATTAATATCCATAGGTGTTGTATGCAATTACTTTAATACAATATTACTAAAAAAACATACATAAATACTCTGTTTAATGGTGTTAGATTTCATAAATATTTTTGTTGTACTTTGATCCGAAAACTTTTTTAATGTCTTGCAACTATTTTACAGTTATGATATATTATATTACTAATATATCCACTATAAACATTCTATAGTTTATATGATATAAGAAGTTGAAATATGCTACATTTTTATATTAAAAAAAATAAAACTGAATTAGGCCTTGTACATTACATATTCAATAGGATTGTTTCAACATTATGTATCTAAAATATTGATAAAATACAGTATTTAAATTGTGAAACTACCGTCAGCATGAATAACTATCTCTATACGAGATCGTCGACAAGCTAGAATTAAATGATTTTGATACATAGCAGACATTACTCTGACGCAGCTTTCAAGGAATCTTTAGTGTTTTGGGGGTGTTCATTGACCATTGACCCAATAACGCTACATACTTAAAAATCCAAGAGATGAGTTCTTTTGCAAGTAACCGCATTGATTTTATGGAATAATGATTTGTTGCCGTGACTCTCATAGTGGGGTTCACGACCCCCAGAGGTGTCGTTGAAAAATTAATTAAACCGGGTGGTTTTCTCAAATTTTTAAGTACAAAATGAGGTCGAGGACTAAACGCTGGTTTCTTGAACTCCTTGAACAAATTCTGGCGTTCTCGTTCTGTCAGAGCATTCATAATGTTTTCTACGCTTGGACATTTCTGATATGCTGCTTTGTTCTCCAACTTTTTACGAAGTTTATAGTAGTTATTTATTGGCATGCATTGAGTTATTATTTTTTTAATTATTATGACTTACATATAGTAGAATTATTGGTATAGTTATACAAATATAGACTAGTTGCTCTTGTTTTATATGTTTATTTAAATAAAAACTATTTTTTGTTTGTACTAGTTAAGAATATTTGGTAATATATGAATTTGATAGGCATGAGACCACCAGCAATGGGAATGAGACCGCCTCCTCCAGGTATGAGACCGCCGCCGCCTCATATGATGCGTCCTATGATGCCTCCTCCATCCATGCTTCCACCCGGTGGAAGACATCCGCGTGGCTTCCGCGGTCCGAGAGGCCCGGTTCAAAATATGAGACGTGTTCACGATGGCCGCGTCCATAAAAAACCCAAAAAACGATTCGCTCAGTTCGATCTGGATAAACCGTGGGTGAGTGTTGAACTCAAAGAGGATCAGAAAAAGAAGGAAGAGCTGCTGACTTCGGCAAAATCCACTGGAAAACAAGAAGTCTGGGATGCTTACAAGGAGGCCAGAGATGCTTTCTCAAAGAAGTACTTGGCAGCTAAACAGGAGTACGATGAACAGCATCCAGGGGAGGTGCGTATTCCACAACTCATGCCAGCCACTAAGAAACCAGCTGTTAATACAGCACCCATCGATTACACAGCTGACGTAGTATGTTGATTTAAAAAACAAATCAACATTCTTGTAAATCCAATACACAGCTAGACATATCTAGCACAAAGTTAACTGCACCAAATTTCAATCTCACTGTTTTTACTTTTAATTTATTTCTCCAAACATCTTTTTTTTTGTATATACCGATTTTATATTATTTAAAACACTGAGATTGAAACCGTTTGATCTACCTCTATTTTTTTAAATATACATAGTAATGGATATTATCGGAAAGAAAAAGAAATTATATTTACATATTTTTAATAATTCAAATGAAATTATTAATTACATTCGCTGGTTCTGTTTTCAGGACGTAAGCAAAATCATGGCGGAAGCAAATAAATTAACTATTTAGTTATTGTAAGGGTCACAATTGAAACAGAAGGGTTGCAAATAGAAACTAAACTAGTAAACAATGTCTGAAACGTTACAAACCTTCAGGAACTGATTGAAAGCTACACTCTCATCGATTTGGTTAGCAAACCCTCGAATACAAATTAATTTCGTTTATTTAATTATTTAAATTCAGTAATATCTAGACACTTCAGTTCATAGTAGCCAGACCTTTTGTATATTATAATAAGGATTATAAATTGACCATTGCATTGAAGATCATTTGAATAGATAACATTAGATGTTTAATCATTTCAATTAATTAAATATGATGCATTGCAATGACTTTCAGTCGGGTTTATAATCTTTTCATGAATGGCTTCTTAATAAATAGATGTATTCATATTTATGTCAATTTGATGTGTGTCCATATAATGAATTCTATCAACTGAAGTTAACTTTCAAAATTTCTATATATGAATGTTTTCATTATTTTTTTCTGATATTAGTAACTAATGTCTATTTTTTTTTTCATTAAATGTGAACAAGACCATTGTACCTGCTCAAATATATTCAGGTACTATCCTCTAGAAGTACCCTGATTAAATGTATTATTATTACATGTTGTAATAAATAAGTTTGACACAAATTTATCTTTTACAATTATTTTTCTGTTCTGCTTATATATTGTTTTTATTTTAATTTTTTTCAAACACAAACCTTATGTTTTACGAAATTTCAGCTTGGCAATTCAGTTTGCAAAAGGCAATTACCATATCATTCATTTTTTAATTTGTTTTATTTTGAAGTAAAGAAATTGAGTGATGTGGTTCTTATATAAACTGACGAATAATCTTGGAATTATGGGGATGTTTTAGCACAACGATATGTAAGAAAAGAATAGTATTATTTGTTTGCTTCTACCCTGTCTTAGAGTATTTCCATTTTCTAAATAGAAATACCATTTGTTGTTGTTTTTTCACGACTTCTAATTTAACTATAATGTTTTAATTTAATAGAATTTTGTTATAGGAAGAAACAGTTGAAGAGGAGGGCGGTATTTCAGATGATAATGCATGTGCTGATGGCCCGCAGAATAGTGATGAGGATGACCATAATTGTGATGAAATGAATAATTATTATGATGATTGTGATAATAGTAATTACTATAATGACGAAAGTGAAACTTGTTTTGATGATAACACAGACGGCAATAGTGTTGTTAAAGACGAATCATTTTATTGTGAGAGTTGTGACAGAGAATTCTTTAATACACATTCTTATAGCATTCATTTATCACAACATCAAACCTGTGGTATTGATGGATGCAAATTTATAGCACACGAAAAAATTATTGCGGTCCACATAAGACTGCAGCATTCTTCTGGGTTGTACGACAAGATTAGGAATGTTTCAACTCCCGAAGATATCGAAAAATGGATAGCCGAGAGGAAAAAGCGTTTTCCATCGAAAGAAAATATCGAACAGAGATATAAGAAGCAGGAAGAGATGTTGAAGAGGGGGGAGCGGATACTGGACAAAAAGAAGAGATTCCCTGATAAAACCGGTAATACATAATAATTATAATCGTTTTCATTTTGTTGTATTTTTTTTATATAGTTAATTAATATGTTTTGATCTAGTATTAGCAAAGAAAAAGCCTATTAAAAAGAAGAGGAAAAAAAATGTATCGATTAAACGTACTAGCTTAATTGATGAAAAAGCCGATTGGAATGGAGAAATGTTTCCTTTCAAAGGGACTAAAGAATTGTATGCCAAGGATGAGGACAGTTCCTCAGCGTCCGAAGAGTTATACGATGACGATGAATGGAACGGAGCTACGACCTCTAACAAACAACCGGAAAAAGTAGTTCTAAGTAATGCGTTGGGTTCGATTATGGGCGCATACGCTTCTGGGTCAGAGTCAGATCCAACAGAAACTATAGAAGAAACGCCAATAGCAAGTGAACCAACTACATCCGTGGAACCACAAGACGCAGTATTTGAGATGCCCAAGCAGGAAAGAGTCAAAAAAGAACATAAAGGAAATCGAAAGAGAAAACGAAATGTTACAAAGGAAGAGAAGACCCAAGTTCCTAATGCCGCTGAAGTTCTCTCTAATAGAAAATACAGAAAGCGGAGGGAAACGCTGCTTGAGAAGTTGTTGAGTAAAGAAATCAAACACGAACGTAATGTGTTGCTACAATGCGTCCGTTATGTAATCAACAACAATTTCTTTGATAAACCTATCAAAAACATAGAATATGATCATGCCGAGAAACCGGAAACGATGACATGCGAAGCATCGGAACCGGACGTGATTTAATGTTAATTGTTATATATTTCAGTCTGGTCAATATGTAAATATTTAAATAAAAGTTGTTATTCACGTGCATATGTTTTCTTTCTGTGTATTTCTCGAGTATTGCGGGGGAACGGTGCCAAGAAATGTCAGATGTGTATTGGAACAATCATTTAAAAATAATGCGTGCATATGATATTGCAAGGCCGGCCGTCCAGAATATTTAAAGAATGAGAAGGTAGAAAAGTTTTAAATCATCGAGTAATCGTACTACCGACGCACCTGTACCACGGAATAAATTTGAATCATCATCGTCTGCACACGGAACCCAGAATTTTATGAAGTCACTGAAAATTATGGTATCAAGACCGGGAACGCGAAAATATCCCAAATGAATATTAAAAATAGGCCGTTTTATTATTTTTGTTCCACTTTGAAGATAATAAAAACAGAATTTATGATTTTTTTTCTCTACTATCTCGCTCTGTCAGAGGTATTAGAATAGTTTTGGAAAGGAACAGTTTTCCAACGCAAGTTATTTTTACGGCTTATACTTCTTTGATTTGTGAGAAACCTTGCTCAACAGCTTCATATTTTTTTGTATATATATATAAAATGGAAGTAAATAAAATTGCATAAATTCCTATTTCTATATTTAAATATAATTTTCTATATCGTGCAGCTATTATTTATTAGTTCTGCCTAAAGTTAGGCAATACTGGTGGCAGATATTACAAACATATGCGTCTGATAAAGTACCGAATTCGTGTCTACATCAGTATGTAGTTGCAGCAATCAAATAATTTATTGCTATGGTCGCCTGTATCACGAAAATCTGATACGAAAGGTCGTTGGTTCAATTCCGAAAAATCAAAAAAAAATTGTGTTAAACCCGAAAGGGGTAGACATAGGGTAGGAAACAAATTGATATAAATCTCTTTTAAATTAAAAAAAAATAATTTATTCGAAATAAAAACAAACGTTGGTTCAATCAACGAAATAAACAAAACTTACATCTATATAGTATATTTATTGCTGACATTCTTCTTTGAGCAAGAATATAAATAAATTAAATATTATCGTTGAAAAAAGGTTATTGTGTGTATCTAATGTTTGATAGAATTGCATTACAAATATTTCTAACCAAAACGAATATCATGATAAAGTTGTTATTTTTACGGAACAATTTCGTAGTTTATTGTGTTTAAATTAATCTAATTTATAAATAAAATAGTTTTACAATCATTAATAATTTTTATTTTCATTAAATGAGCCATTATTTTTTAAAGTGGCATAAGTCAATAATAAAAAATAAAAACGAGGAAATTAAGTCCACATATTTATAGTCATTTTTAATGTAAAAAATAATAATTAAATTGAAGAAATGTAAATACACGAATAATCAAGTTTATTAAGAATAAAATATAAATAAACAAGTGTAAAATGTAATTATTTATTAAAGATAACTAAAAAATATTTTAAACTTATTTCTCCTTTAAGTAGGTGGTATGTTCGGCAATAAATTCATCATGAATTTCTCTCTTGTTATTGGTCTTGAAGTCTTATATAGTGGAAAAATAGTCATTTTGCTGAGTGTTTAGGTCTTCCTTATTTTTCAAATAAAAATTTCTTTAAATGGGTTCATTCCTTTTAAACCTCATCTAGTATATTTTCAGCCATTTTAAATTACTTAATAATAATATTTTTCTCCTCCATTTCTTTTAACTTTATCTTGTTTAAGATATTGTTTTAATATATAGCATAGAAAAGTTTTTTTTTCAACTGATGAAGTTGTTATGATTAAGTTCTTCATCTGTCATTATTAATCTTAATTTCACTCATAATATATAATTTCTAATATGTTTGAACACCTTGCATTTCCTTTAACCACAATGGTGGTTATAAACATACATTCATAAATTATAGTTAAAACAAAGTTTCTAATAAAAACGTAAAATTAATTATTATAAATTCTGTGCTTGAAACCTAAATAACCTTCCCAAATTTAAATATCCCACATTATCCCTATTCCAATACCTAATGTCTCTTGATTGGAAGCCTTCTAGTTCCTACTCTACTGCTCTTTTTATATACTCAAGAAGACAAAAAAATATATAAGTAAATAAGAAATATATATATCTTTAATGGAATTTTGTGAAAAAATCTTATCGTTAATGCCATTTGCAACTGTTACATAATAATAAACAATACAAACGTTTAAATTGTGCATTTTATTTCTTATATTTGTTTTATTTTGTATTATCATTAAGTTGTTATCCAAGCATTTATATATTACTCTGTTTATTAGAAAAAAAGTATTTTAAGTTTGATTGCTTGCAGCTGTAGAAAGAAAAATAGCGTGTGTACGTGTTTTAGCAATGTAGCAGAATAAACACATTACAGCTTTACACGTCTAATTTTAATCTCTTATTAGTCATTACGTTTGCATTATTGTATTCTGTAAATTTATCGTCTTATCATTGATGTTGTTTTATCGGAAGAGAGAAGAATGGATACCGGAGTGCACGTACATTCTTTTTTTCTCGCAAATAACTCCATTAAGATGTCAGTGTATGTTTAAAAGGCCGTGTCCAAGCCGATGTAAATAAAAGGCCTGTAAAATTATATTTTTAACAGGCACGAATTATAATTTTTCTGTAGGATCTGACGACTCCATTTCTTTTGCACTCGCTTCTGAGAATAGATAGAAAAGAGATGGACGGAGTCCGAGAAAATATAAGCCGAAAACCCCACCCCCAACTTAGCTGAACTTTTGGCAAATCGCGAGCCGTACTATCACACTTTGACTCCAGGTCCTGGACAGTGAAGACACCCATTGGAAAATAACACGAAAACAACATCCCAAAATCCAAGTAAGTTTTATTCCTTCATATTCCTACACTGCTCATTAACTTGAAGAAATATAATAGTTTCACTTCATTTAAAGCAAATTAGAAGTTAATTTCTTAAAAAAAACACTAAATAATCTGATTGGAAGTGTTCCAAGATAGTTAAAATTACTGATACGTGTATGCCGTTAAATCTTGTTTTTCAAAACGTTTTGGTTCCAGCAAATCTGCTGTGCATAATAATTTGTTTGGCTCCAGAGAATGTAGGTTTCCATGGTTTATGTAACATTCATATGCACGTGTTTATCATCGGAGCAAATCTTCAAAAGCTTTTACGCTGTAATAAATTCTATTTCAAGTGGACGATAAAAAATATTATAAAACCGCGCCACTATATAAATATATATAAACTATTTTTTTTATATGTCTACTTTTAATTTTAGAAATGGCCACTCCAAGTGAAACTCAAAGCTTATTCATGACCTTCCTGATTTTGGCAGTTTTGCTGTTCGCTCTGTGGTTGCTGTACGTGGGATTCGTGTAAATCAAATGATACCCGATAAAAAACAACAGCTATAATAGGGTTTGTATTTACGCGCTAAAAATATGTAGGTTTTCCACACGACTTAATTATTTTCGCTTTCCGGAATGGTATGAATGAAACGATTATTTCGGTCCGAGCGGCGCCTTCCAAAAATAGTCCTTCCTTATTATTTATAAACACATCTGAACTATTCGCAGAATACACGCCTCCACCAGCCTCCACTTCTATAATAATATTAATGATATATGTGTACGTTTCCAGATGATCCACCTGTTCCATGACCACGAGCTCTGCGGAAGAACATGAATCCTTCCATTCAACATCCTTATCTATTTATTTTACTTTATTTTGTATAAAGACATGTTTATTAATTTATTAACGTGATTTGCAAATGTAGAGAATAAATCACATTTTATAAAAAAAAACACTCGTTTCGTTCCAATTGTTTTCCATTCCGTTATTTAATAGTGTGGTGGGTGTAGACTTTGTTTGACATTTCTAAATAAAAAACAGAAGAAAAATTTGTTTTTGTTCAGATTTTTTTTTCTTGTTTTCACTTCCATCCAAAAAAGACGAGGTTTATATCAAGTTTATTTTAACTATTTTATTTAGGGATATCGCCAAGGAGCAGCTATCAGCAGCATGCCATCGTTCGAGAGGCAACAGACGCTCCTTTCTGGTACAACTGGCCTTACCATCTTGAATTTTCTGCTCAAAGTTTTCTCAACAGACGTCGGAAATCCATTGTGTAATTGATTTTGACCGCTGGTAGCTGTTATTTCCAGGTATCCTTCATTTACCAAACACTTGATCTCGTTTGGAGCGTAGCCTCTTGTATCTACAATTGCCTTATTTCTCTATTAAAATGTAAACATGGTCAAGAGTCGACGATAATACTTCGAAACGATCTTCGTGGATATAAATAGTGCCCATTGCTTACATATTCGTGAAGTTGAGTTATGCAGAGAAATTTTGAATGCAATCACAATGACATATGTTTGAATTAAGCTTTGAACTTGACACATTGATTTATTTTATTTTTCAGTAAACTACTTATGTTCTTTTACAATGTAAATAGAAATTACAATTATATCATCACCTTATTGTAGAACATTAATTTTGGATCATTTATTTACTGTATATAAAAAAATCTGTCTTAAGAAATGTATGTTCATAAAAAAATGTGTTATTACTATTATTAATTTTATTATTTAAACGCGCTTCAAATTCTACAAAAGCTTATAAATGTGTGAGATATAAATCCTCAAAAGAAATTGAGAGAAGCACTTGCATTGATAAAAACCAGTTGAAAATATGATCAGCGGTAATTTGAATATATTTGCAACTTTTGTTTTTATTATAATCTGATTCTACGATTCTCCATTTTTTGTAATTTTTGCTATATTAAGAAGTGTTTAAAATATATTAACTATATTAAGTAGTATAAAAGATCCAATATAAAAATAAGTGTATGTATGATTTAATATTTATAATCTCATTTTTATGTAAAAACATCATGGTTTTGGTACGTGGGATTACAAATTTTGAGTTTAGTGGTCCGCGAGATTCAATATATTAAGTTTAGTGGTCCGTGAGGTCAAAAAGATTAGCGACTAGACAATATCTCTCAATGATTAAATAATATATTCTAATATTTCAAATATAATAGAAAAAATATTATGATCTTTGCGAACCATTATCACTTAGGCTCTACTTTATAATATATTTAAGATTTCATCAATGTTTTTCTATCTGTGGTCCGTGAACTGTTTCCAGTTTCCAAAAATTGTATACTATCCCACGTTAATATACTTTAGGTCAAAATTATATAAAAAAGTATAAATTGTATTCTTTTTACTTCTTCTTTTGTGTTTTATTTTTATATTAAACGTCATAACCGGATTTGAAAAATGCATATCATTGGCTATTTAAGGAATTCAAGTGATCTATTAGGATCGATGAAAAATATATACGTTTTTAATATTTTAATATAATTTTGATATGGAGTTTTGTGCAATAATGAATAAATAATAATTTGCTTCTCCATTTGCTGTGGTCTCCTCGAATTTTGGAAACATAGTTGCAACGTGGAGCGCACTTGCAGCGTTGTCTATTTTACCACGTTACACCATTCTAGAATTAAAGATATTAATAAAACTATTGCAATAAAATTGATTGAATCAAGAAAGCATATGTTTTCTTTATTTAATAACAAAATTACTAGGAAAAAATTGAATCTTGTTAAAGTTCAATCTATGTCCAATATTGATTTATCCTTGTAAGAAGAATTAATTGAAGTAAAAAGAGAATTTTTAATCTAAAATTAATTTTTTTACTTGTGGATTTGCCAAAATTTTTGAATTGCAAATACATTTCTAAACAAATATTTCAGATTAACAAATATGTCCGAAGCATTATTTTAAAATTATCCCAATTTTGAGTTATTACTGAAAAAAAATCAGAACCCGCTTTAAGAATATTGTTTGTTTATAAAGGGTGTCCTGGATTGAATGAAACACAGAAAATTATTCTTTAATTGGGAATTTTTTTATGGATTTACAAAGTAGACATGTTGACTGATGTTGACATTAATTATGGAATTATGGACTTTAACAATTCTGCTTATTAAAAAAAACATCCAAATGAAAATGATCTTCATCAATACTGTTTAGTTTTCCATCACCCAATTAGCGAATTGTCTTCGTTGCAAAAAGTCTCGTGACTTGAGCTCCTGAGTTAATTGAACTTTGTAAGGGTGGAGGTGAAGGTCTGTTTTTGCTAATGTTCAATTGTTGAGAATGACGGCGTGTTGATATTCCTGGATTCTTATCGATACTCTCTCTGATATTTGCAATGTTTTCGGCTGACCCCACTGGACCAGGAGTTTGTTTGTTCATAACCAAATCAGTTTCCTCAATTTTTTTAATTAATCTTCGAATGGTAGACTAATTAATTGAAATTAGAATATCAAGAATTCCACGAACTTTTCGAACAGTCTCCGCAAAAGTTTCGCCAAATTTGAAATCTGTTTTAATAATAACGTTGTTCTTTTGTATAGCGACTCATTTTTAATAACCTAAATAACATGAGATGTCAATCATTTATAAGTCAAACAAAGTTGTAAAATTGTTTAATAAAACAAATATGTTATGTTGCAGGATTACTCATACCAATAGCAACTTAATTATTTGCAAATTTTGTCTGTAGCAGGGAAATACCAGGATGGAGATATAAGTAATAACGGTACCGCCCCAATGTTTCTACATTGGAATCCCCTGCTCTCGAGTGTAGACCAGAGCTCGGCAACTTATTCTATTAGGAGGACATATTTTAGAAATACGGGAGTTGCCAAATTTAAAATTGTGTGTGTGAGTGGAGGTAACTCTAAGAAAGAATATGTAAGAGCGGGGGATGACATTATTGAAAAAAAAATCTACAAATAACTGCTGTTCAAATTCTAAGTTTAGATATTTATATAAAATCAATGTTATAGGGAATATTTTGAAATTCATCAATCGATCAGGTATTATCAATACATTGTACATTTGTTAAATAAAATGTAAAAAGATAACATTAAATGCGGTAAATATTATTCATATCAAAAATATAACTTTAATTTTAATAGATTTACAAGTTTTTACTCCATAAATTTTAAAGCGATACTCTGAAAATTATTAATAATAATGATGTTTATTGCATCAATCATACAAAAAAACATATACAGAAATAAAAAGAATAAAATAAATATATATGATTTCAAAAAAGTCAACGGATAAAAAGGGCTATTGAAATTATTAATATTTTTTGTAAATAATGCAATAAATCGCAATTTATCTGTTTCATCATTTTTGTCAAGTTCTGTTATAGTTAACTTCATATTTATATTAGGGCGACTAATAGCCGAATGGTTAAGTCGCCCTACCAAGGTTCAAATCCTGGTCAAGCCAGGCCCTTTGTTAGCCCTCTCGGTGCTTGCACCAGGGCTATCGTTCATCACAGATGGACAGCGAAATGAATGAGGTTCAGCATATGGACCTTCAGCCAAGTCGATGGACAATGACAGTGTCAAGTCATCTAATGGTAACTATCTACCGGGAATGATTATCTACCTAATGTTTTATCGAAGGACCAAGTGTGTGGGTGAACAATAAAATAAACTATATTCGACCAACTTTAAACTTATATTCAACAACAACAATTCTATTCAACAAACTATCAACACATATTTTTACTTAAAATCAATGAAATGTCAACTGATTTGTCTATGTCACCATTAAATGTTGGTAACTCAATTGCCGGTAGTTTCACATGTCCAATATCACTGCCCATTGGTGTTGATTGCTGCGACCATGCCGATATTTCCTTATCAGGCTTTAATTTGGCCTTTGCCTTATTCAGGGCCTCAATGAACGACTCACCTATCTCTTCGTGATCTTCCATGAATTGCTCGTCTGGTTCCAACTTCCTACCAATGTTGAAATGGTTATCTCCCAATTCTTCGAAGGTTTTCTCTGCCCTTTTTATTCTATCCTTAATATCCTCTGGAGTCCCCATCATGTTTCTTTCACCACACACAACTATTTTATTTATTAGGCACTGGTATACGGTTCGAATGGACCAATGATTGTTTATTTTATTGTTCACCCACACACTTGGTCCTTCGATAAAACACCTAATGTCAACCGCGATCTTAAATTTACTCAATGTTTATATTGATGAACAGATTGTGAATAAAATTACACGACATAAAAAAATATATATTTATATTAAGTTTTCTTATATTATTAAATATGAAGAATGGTATTCAATTCTTCATATTTAAAAATAATTGTATAAATGAAATATAAAAAAATTATCGAATATATTATTATAATTAAAGTGGCAAGATTCACATTTTAAGTATAAATGTTTTCCCTTTTTAGACATATTTGGTTACCTTCGATTTCAAGTCCTTAATAGTAGAAAACATTCAAACTAGATTGAGGTACAAATTTTCTATAAAGCTATACATATAATTTACTTGCATTTTTCTAAGGACACGACACCATAGGAATGGCACTTTCTTTTGTTGTATATTGCCTTTCAATGAATCCTGATATTCAAGTAATACATTATTTTGTATTAAGATATGTGTAAGCTAAAATTTATGTTTATAGGAGAAAGTTTTTGAAGAACAACAGTGTTACTTACAACACATTACAAAGTATGAACTATTTGGAGAAAGTAATTAAAGACGCGCTATGAGGCTGTATCCATCGGTTTGTAGAGATTTTCAATTTAATAAGTTTTGTATATTTGCATTTAATATTTATTAATATCCTAATCATTTTAGATCAATTTGTAATAAAGAAAGGCAGCACTGCTTCTCAGATACTGAGAAGTTTGATCCCGAAAAGTTTCATCGCCGAAAACTGCAGGAAGCAACCTCTATATGTGTACATACCTTTCAGTGCAGGATCACGCAATTGCATAGGACAGAAGTTTGCTATGTTGGAGATGAAGACCACCATTTCCAGATTGATCTGGAATTATAAAATTTTACTTTGTCCAGGTTTTAAACCTGATTTAGTACCTGTAATCGTTCTAAATATTTAAACGGTGTCCGCGTGAAATTGGTCAATAGACAATAGAATATTGTTATATAATTTTATATTTTATTATTTTATCTTATCGTTTGTAATTAGAATACTTGAATTGGTTACCACCACAATTTAATACATCTGATCTTAGCAATTGATAGTAAAATAATAATAAATAATGTATTGTTTATGTTTGATAGACCTTCATTACACAATTATATATAAGTTTTCAACTTATGTTGATTACAATAGAATTTTCTATTTACTATGTAATTGTCATTACCATGCAATCTTAGACACCCAGACAATTGAATACATAACTCTCCTAACAAATTATTTTATGAACACATACATATTGGAACACATTGACATATTGTTTATGAAATTCTGCCCCTTTTACACTCTCGACACAGTTTTACGGCATTGAATTTTAAGAGTAGGAAAACGGTCTCAGATCAGATTTTTTAATGTTAATGGTAACTATCCATCGGGAAAGCTTGTCTAATTAATGTTAACCGCGATTAAATTTACTCAATTTTCTAATTGATGATCAGATTGTGTATAAAATTATTACGACATGAAAAAAAATATAGTTAACTTTTTATTTTATTATAGTATTAAGGTTTTATTTTTTATATATATGTATATATACTAAGGTGAAAGGCTAAACTGTCGACATAAGCCACATGTGATTGTAAAGAATGACATGATAAAATTTAAATTTGTTTTTTTTTAAATAAATTATCTGGGTTCATCAGTAAGACACAATGGAGAATGGCAATGATATTCAATACATCCACTTTGCATGTTTAAAAAATGAAATTATATTATTTCATTGTTTATTTTTCTAGATTATGTCGTAGTAATATGGTTGTGGTTTCATAGTGAGGTTTATTTCCATTATATACAATGTAAATAGTTTCATTGTACAAATCAGTATTTCTGAGTGAAAAGTCAACTACAAGTGTCGATAACATGGATAATCTTGTTCTTTCCTGGACCCAGCAACTAAGACTATTATAGGTAACCAGGAACTAGATGTTAATTCCAGGGGTGCCCAACCCAAATTACAACACATGTCAAAAAATAAATCGAAGAACTTATTCAAAATATTTTAATACCTTATTGTTAATGTGATACTTGTTTTTTGTATATTGTTAAATATCTTTTTCATATCAACTGGTAATTTTGTGGTTAAAAGATCTTTACTGTCACTATTAAAGTTATTTAATTAATTAAATTATTTGACCGTAATTTATTATCATAAATCCTGAGTTTTGTTAGGAAGGACCTTATAGCTTCTCATTTAGCAACATACAAAACTGGTCTGACACTTGCACCAGAAAAAACAGAAGCGGTATTACTGATCCGAAAAATGAAAGCAAAACCTATAAAATTTACCATATCAAGCACAGAAGTAATACCGAAGAAAGTTATTAAATACCTGGGGGTCTCCATTGTCAGTAGCCTGACATAAGCCGAGCATATGAGGGAAGTAGCCATCCGAGCAGCAGAAACAACAACAGCTCTAAGCAGATTAATGCACAACAAGGGTGGACCAAAGTCTAGCAAGAGAAGATTGCTAGGAGTAGTGGCTCAATCTATTATGCTGTATGCTACTCCTATATGGGAACAAGCAATGACAGTTCTAAGCTATAGAAAAGCGCTAGAAACGGTCCAACGGAGAGGAGCAATTAAGATATGCAGCGCGTATAGGACAATTTCCCGAGACGCAGTGCAGGTGATAGCTGGAGTGCCACCAATAGAGCTCCTTGTTTTGGAGAGATGTGAAAGGCAGAGGGGCACGACCAAAGCGGATGCTAGAGCCAAATTGCTTCAAAAATGGCAAGATAAATGGCACAGGTCGGAAAGGTCGAAAGGAGCCTGGACTCTGCGCCTAATACCGCAAATAGAGCCTTGGTTAAGCAGAAAGCACGGTGAAACAACATTTCACCTGAGCCAGGCGCTGTCTGGCCATGGATGCTTTGGCGAGTACCTGCACTTCATCGCAAAGAAGGAGGATGAAAGGTGCTGGTACTGCGAGGAGGACGATAGCCTTGAGCACACGCTATTTAGGTGCTGCAGATGGGTTGGAAGGAAGTACAGGGCGGAGGAAGAATTGGGAGGCAAAATTGGGAGTTCTGCTAGAGCCTGAAAATATTGAGGAGTGAAATGTTGAGGAGTGTGGACAGCTGGAATGTTGTAGCGGCGTACATAACAGAGGTGCTGCTAAGCAAGGAAGAAGACGAGCGGAGGCTGCAGAGGGCCTACGAGGATAGTGGCAGTAGAGGCCAGCATTATTAGGGGAAGTGCCAGAGAGGCAATGACAATCAGCATCGCAGAGTAGTATAGCGATACAGGTCTTGCATGCTGGCGAAGAAGGGGAGAGGTTTTAGTGCGGTAAGAATCCCACAGTACCATGCCTCCACCCATGGTCCCTATGTAAGGTTTCCTCTCCTCTACAAAAAAAAACTTCTCATTTAATTCATTTAATTTTATCAAACACGACTACCTTATTTCTATTACTAACTTCATTGAGTTTTTGTTCAAATATGATCAAGATTGTATCCAAATGATTATAATGATAAGTGGTGAAGAAGAAAAATAAATCATAGCCTGCTTTGAAAAAATCAATTCACAAATATCTTTAAGCACCTGAAGAGAAGAACAAATAATTTGGTTCATTATTTAATGCTCTAAAGACAATTAAACTCAGCTTTTTATCAAGTGACAGTTTTTTATATTTCTGTAAATTTTGTATGTGCAATAGATCAGTGTCACCAATGTAAAATAAATTGTAAAAATATTTTTCTCTATTTTTTTGTGAATATTCGAAAACCGGTTTAAACCGGTTTTATAGACATTTTTTTATAGAAAAGTTGAGATTCGAAAACTTATTATTTAAAAAAGTCGTTTTTTTGTATATAAATCCTGATAGTAATTAGTGTATTGTATATAACAATAGTCATTACATAGTGATTAAGAATTCTAAGTGGAAAAGGAGTACTCATAGAAGTACTGAAACAATTTTAATTATTTTTTCTACCAACAAATTTAGTTTGTTCCATCAATCTCTACAAAATGATCCAAAAATGAAAGACTCATTAAAAATACTTTTTGGTCAATTTTAGTATCTTTCTGTTTACTTACTCAAATGTTCACCTCTTTCAAACCGAATACCATTCGGATTCCCTATTAGCTTACGTGATCAACATTTAATTTTTTACAGCTCATACGTAATAGCAATGATGTAATTGTGCTGCAATTTTATTTAAATTTTAACATTTATTTTTTATTACGTAATGTATTTTTATAATTAGAAATGGACCTGATTAGAAAGTCACTGATTTTAATAAATCATCAAATGAATTTTATTTGTTTGAAATTTGAAAATAAACTTTCTGTTTTAAATTACATGGAAAAAAATGATTGTGTATTCTGTGTTTCATTACAAATAATTAGTTGAAAAAAAAACAATTAACTAAAATCACTAACAATTATCTAAAATTTGATTACACAGATAATTGTGCATTCTAATAATTTTAGGACAGATGAAATAATATATACTCAAAAAAATAAAATATATAACAACAAAATAAATATAACAAAATTGATCTGCTACAAAAGTCTATTGACCTAAATAGTTTTATTATTAGTATTTTATGTGAAATACATAAATCAAGTTTATCGAAAGGAGATAATTTTATAGTGACCAATAGACGAGTGTAGGATAAAGAAGAAGTGATAAACTAAATTTTATTACGTACAAGTTTACTGTTATCATTTTAATCCGTTACTATACACATAAAAGAAATACATGAGTCAAAATTCATTTTTACAACAATTTTTACAAGTTCCTATTAGTTCAAGAATTTATCACCATTTCAAACAAACTTAATAGCTCAAACAGTTTGTGCATTTTTTTTTTGAACAAGTATTACAAATTGTTCTATTGTATATGTTTCAAAACGTTGCATATATGGTTCACACAAAGCACATGGGTTTTTTTGATAAGAGGCCCACCCAAATTTTGTTTTCCAAATAAAAGCCCATGGGACAAATAATTTCTCTAATACAATAGGTTGTGATTGAAAATATAACATTTTACATATATATTTATTTAAAAGGTAATTTAATTATTTAATTATGTACAAGGTTTATAAAAAAAATGATTAATGTATATTTGTTTCCTTAATTGTAATTTAACAATTGTCTGACTGTTTTGTAATGGAGTTCAATGTATCACTGTGAACGTAATATATACACTATGTAGCGAGCAAGCGAACAGTTCATTCGTTTCAGTTGTACACTCAGCACAGTTTTACTTTATGAGCATTTATATACAAAACTTCGTAAGTTGTACTTGTACCTTTTTTAAATATTAATAATTTATATATGATAGGCTTTTGTATATGGTTTCTACCTAATTAAAGACAATATATAATTACATTACAAAAAATAGATTGATTCCATGGTTATATTGGTTTTAAATAGAAAATCAGTAGACATGATTTTTTATTAATATTTTTACAGTCACAGCATATGAACAAATAAAAATGAGACATATTAATATTATTTTCTATGTATGTGTTCTTATCATGTGAAAAAACTATAAAAAGATGTTAAAATTTGTATATTAAAAGTAAATTCATAAATAAAATAAATGTACGGAAATATCTTGCATAGTGTGGCTTTGATCAGTTTTTAAATTACAAAACAAAGTAAATTTTGATTGCTAACTATAAATTAATGATGGTTTTCATATGCTCGATTAGTGCGGGTTATAACAGACATTTGTAGAACTGATTATCCGCACTATGTGAGGTATTGTTGTATTGTGCATATTTCAATGACAAATCCAATTTTATTATAGTGCAAAACAATGGTAATAAATTATTTAATAGTCTCTAATTAGTCGTTTACGCAATGTACTAATAATATTTATCGCATTTCATGGTTGTTACAATGCAATATATTTTATGATGAATAATCACACGAATTTCAAATTATAGACAAGTCTGTTTTCAATTCTTTTTTTGTCAAAAGATTAATTCGTTTTACTGCTTAAAACAAAATGACAACATTAATTTATATGGAAGTTAAACGAGATTTACTCTTCAGATTGTACGATATTGTAAAATTATATAGAAGTTTAATTGGTAATTATACAAATCGTTGTTGTTACAATCTTATAAAGTAGTGAAATTGATTCCAGAAAAATTGTTCAAAAGAAAAATTATTCTATGACTATAGTAAATCTACTAGTTTTCTATAGAGACAATTTTAAAGTTTACGCGAAATTCATTTCAAACGGCTCGTTAAAACAATATACAGTGGAACCTCGCTTAAGGAATTTAATCCGTTCCAAAATTTTCGGACTTTTACTCATATAGTGAAATACTCGTATAGTGAAACATTCAAAAATATACATACAAGTTTTAAAAATGATGTAGCAGGCGCGCAATCCGGGACTTCTCTTCTCATCGTCACTCGTTAAGTGAGGTTCCATTGTATATAAGCTCTCCGAACTTAAGTCACTAGATTGGACATGGAAATACCTATATCACCAAATTTTTTGTTTGTATTTTTAAAATACTCGTGAAGTGATTTATCTGTATTTTGAACATACATACAAAATTTTAATAAATTTAAGTTAATTTTAGGTCGTCAACCCTTTGTGGCTAATAAATAAATTATTATTAATATTATTATAATGAATATAAATAAATTTTAATAAAATATTTGATATATAAAATGTTACATTTTTTATAATCTAACAGCAAAAAAAAGTAATGTTCGAAGGAATCGTTTTTTTACAACAAAATTTCATTCCAACAATTTTTCTGACATTTCTTGTCTTACGCATTCGTCTTATTAATTTATTTGTTGTATCATTTCACTCATAAATAATTTAATCAAATATTTGTCTTATATTACCTGTCACCTTGACCCATTTATACCAATATATAACAAAAAAAATGCATATTCATTATTTTTAGTTCCCTGAAATAATTTAATTTGTTTCACATGTACATAAATTAATAATATGTTTATATTACAGAATGTTATTCGCGTGTCTTTTAATAATAGCAATAATTATTGCATCGACGGTATGGATAGTCCTAGGTAGAAAGAAAAATGTTACCATCTTTCCTGGGCCAAAACCATTTCCTGTTATCGGGAATATACTAGAATTCATCAATCAATCAGGTATTGACCACTTGAACTTGAACCACTTGAAAAAAATATATAGTGTAATTTAAAATAAATACTTACAAACGCAATTCACTTATTACATTGCTTTAATTAATTAATTTGAAGTATTTCTTTTTTATTAAAAAATGTCAAAGTGTTTTCTTTTGTATCCTCAGTGTAATTTTGAAGAGTGACAATACATATATGCCCATTTTTATATTATTTTGTTGAGGAATTTATTATTGTATACGTATGTAAGTGCAGAGTTAAAAATAACAATAAGAATAACAAAAATAAATAAAAAATATTTATTGTTATAATTACATTAGAAAGTTTCTTACTATAAATTTTCCTTGTTTTCAGATATATTACCAAAATGTGTACGGTTTATGACAGAATTTGGGGAAAACTTTACTTTACACCTAGGACCAATAGTGTTTTTTCAAATTTCCGATCCGAATTTAGTTGAAAAATTAATGAACACGCAGGAGTTCCACGAGAAGGCGGAATTGTACAACTTTCTGAAAAGTTGGCTCGGCACGGGACTATTAACTAGCTTAGGTGAGAAAATAAAAGTTGAAGTAATCTTCATGTATCATATAATTGATGTAATTTCCATCAGGCGAAAAATGGCAACGACATAGAAAAATAATCACACCGACTTTCCACTTTCAAATACTTGAAAAGTTTTTGGTTACCTTCGATCTCAAGTCATCAATACTAGTCGAAAAATTGAAAAAACATTCTGATCAGATCGATTTTGATATTTCACCGTACATCTATAATTGTACACTGGACATTATTTGTGGTAAATAATAAGAAATGTATAGTTTGGTGATACAATAATTGAAATTTTGTGTTTTAATTCTAGAAACTGCGATGGGAATTTCGATGAACATTCAAGAAAACTCCACATCTTCATATGTTCAAGCCGTTAAAGATATGAGCAATATATTTTTGAATAGAATACTCTCGCCTTTGAAACAAATCGACATTTTATATAAATATACTAGCGATTATTTATTGGAGAAAAAGTCCTTGCATATTCTTCACACAACAACTGAGAAAGTAATCTACGAGCGAAAGGCATTAATAGATGAACAGTTTGATTCTTTAGAAGGAAAAAAAGTCGCATTTCTAGATATGTTATTTAATAAAGGACTAAGCTTCGATGATATTAGAAACGAAGTGGACACTTTCATGTTTGAGGTACATATTTTCTATAAACTTATACATATAAATTACTTGCATTTTTTAGGGACATGACACCACAGGAGTGGCACTTTCTTTCATTGTATATTGCCTTTCAATAAATCCTGATATTCAAGTAAAACATAATTCTGTATTACTATATGTGTAAGCTAAAATTAATGTTTTAGGATAAAGTTTTTGAAGAACAACAGCAGATTTACGAAAAAGATCCGAATATAGATTTAACTTACAACATATTACAAAGTATGAACTATTTGGAGAAAGTAATTAAAGAAACGTTGAGGCTATATCCATCGGTTCCGTTGTTCGCAAGGAAAATTACAAGAGATTTTCATTTTCGTAAGTTTTGTCAATTTGCATTTATTATTTATTATTAATATTCAAATCGGTTTAGATGACTTTGTAATGAAAGAAGGCACTACTGCTAGTATATTCGCTTTCGGGATGCATCGAAATCCCAAATATTTCCCGGATCCTGAAAAGTTTGATCCCGAACGTTTTAGTCCTGAAAACTGCAGGACGCGATCTCCATACGTATACATACCTTTCAGCGCAGGATCACGAAATTGCATAGGGCAGAAGTTTGCTATGTTGGAAATGAAGACGTCCATTTCCAGATTGGTCTGGAATTATAAATTTTTACCTTGTCCAGGTTTTAAACCTGATTTAGTACCGGCAGCCGTATTGAAATCCTTAAATGGTATCCGCGTGAAATTGGTCAATAGACATTAGATTATTAATTATCACATACAATTATTATTTAAAGTTTTTTTTATGATGATACCAATAATTACTACAATTCGATATTTGTCATTCAAATATTTGAATTCGATTTGCAAGAGAATATTTATTATAATTAATTGTCTGTTTACTATTAGCTATTACAATAAACTTTTTTTTTTAATTTTATTTATTCATTTTTGATTGACATTAACTTGAGATTTTATCATTATAATTTAAAAACTATATTACAAGAAAAACATTCAGTAAACTTTAGCAACTTTCCTTTAATTGGTTAGTAATTGAATCTCATTAGTAGATCTAATCACTTCACTAGTCACTAGTTTGATTTTAATCTGTTATTGAAAAGATTAACAGCTAATACGTTTGTATGTTTTTATAGCTTATTTTGTTATCAGCTACTATTTTACAATTCCTCTTCCTTTGAAGATCCTCATGAATCGTTCTGTTTGCTATATCTATTTGGCTAATAGTTTGGAATCTTTGTAGAATGACAATGTGCGACCTATTTCGCGAATTGTATTTCGTGGGTATAAAAAATAAGCAATTTAATTTCTGTTGAAATATAAAAATATTTAGCACAAATCTTAAAATTTGTCTATTCTGTGTTGATCTATTACAATTACTTTAAATATGATCATAGGGCGACTAATAGCCGAATGGTTAAGTTGCCCTACGCACGATTTCGTAGGCGCCGGTTCGAAACCTGGTCAATCCAGGCCCTTTGTGAGCACTCTCGGTGCTTGCAGCAAAAAGGCCATCGTTCATCACAGATGGACAGTGAAATGAATGACGTTCAGCATATGGACCTTCAGCCGATGGACAATGACAGTGTTAAGGATAGCAGCAGATTCACAGTGAATGGAAATAACAGAATCGCAGAGTATCAATATACTACTGAAGTTAATCTACAAGACGACAGCCAACCAACATATTAAAAATCAAATCATCATAATGGTAACTATCCACCGGGAAAGATTATCCATTTAATCAATATTTGTTTAAAAGTTTATTTAATAAAAAAAAAATTTGAAAGAAGTTTGTATAGTATGACTGTAATACATTATTTAATTAACTTGAAAACAAACATGTTTTTTTTATTTGTTTATGAGGCATCGACAGCTTAGGTCATTAGCCTCTATCACAATCACAAAGGACTCATACAAAATAATGCAAGTAAATTAAAATAAATAAATTAAATTGGTTTGATAACCAACCAACCAACATATTACTACCCCGACACTTAAGACGATACACTGTGTCCAGTACCGATTGTACAAGTGGGTCACCTGATTGGACATTTGTCAATCCCTGAAGTACGCTCAGTGAATCAGAACACACAATAAACGATGTATTGGGAGATCCAGTACAAAACTCCACCGGTCTCCTGATTGTGTGAAATTCCGCAGAGAAGACACTAGCTTCCCCCCGAAAACCACGGCCGACCCAGCACCCTCACCACCGACCGATCCGTACGTGAACACCAGCAAGGACTCAGCAGCAGCGCCAATAATCTCAACCACTATATAATTATACGGAGATGTGGTCCCCCTGGAGAACTGATTCAGACATATATCAGAACAAAGGAGCCACGGAGGACACTCGGAAAATCCAACAAGATGCATTCTGGGCAGATGCAAATTCAGTCGTCCACGCAGCTCGCGGGCACTAACGGCGACGGGCCTCGTGGTTGTTGTTGTAAACTGTTGACATGTTTCGGGTTAGATAGCATCCCCACTTCGTAGCGCAGAAGGAAGCGGTTACGCCTATACACCAAAGGCGGCAGGCCTGAGAGGCAACACAGACTCACAGAAGGCGAGGAATAAGGTTTGCAATGGGGGCTTACTACTAGCTTGTTACTAGCTGGGAAATGTGTAATCGGAAGTTCATAGTATTGTCGAGTGTCATGCCGAGGAATTTTATGTGGTCTACGCATTTTATAGGCGATCCTCTGAGAAACAGTACGGGGTTCCTATGAGGCCTTCTGAGACGGCAAAAGTGCATTCAAGATGTCTTTGCCTCAGAGAATCGAAAACCTTTCTCTCCAGCCTCCTCCTCAACGATGGTAATCGGTTCTTGCAACCTTCTTGTTATAGAAGGGATGGTATCTCCTGCTGTGTAAATTGTAAGATCGTCGACATACAGGCAGCAATCAATCGATGGACCCAGTGATCCCACTAGATCATTGATGGCTATTGCTAATAACGCAACGCTCAACGTCGTACCCTGCAGAATACCATTTTGCAGTGTCTGCAGCTCAGAGAAAGACGATCCAACGCGGACCCTGAAGAATCGCCATGATAGAAATGATTCTATGAACGTGGATAAATTGACTCTGAAACCCACTCGTCCGACTTTCTTATGATTAGATATCTACAGGTCATATCAAAAGCCTTTTCTATGTCGAAGAAAACAACGACTATATGCTTCTTTGGCAGGAAAGCGTCCTGAGCTGCATTCTCGAGACGAACCAGGTGGTCGACCGTCGAGTGCCCGCTCCTAAATCCTGCCTGGTGCTCTGCAATTAATCCACGGGTCTTCATCGATCGGTCTCCAGCGATCGACTTATATGGTGAGCCATATAAGTCGATCGCTAACCATCCTCTCCAATATTTTGCTGAGGCAGCATGTTAAGTAGATTGGACGGTAACTGGATGGGAGACTCAAATCCTATATTTATTATTATTATTGTTTAATAACATCTAAAGTCATTTGCATAGACATTTATGTAATTACAATTGAAATAAACTAATATAAAATTATATTGTTAATAGAGTATGTAAACAAACAATGTATAAGAGACATCCACGAAGTCTTTTTGAATACTCCGAATATTTTTTTCAATAAACAATATATCCTTACCCGAAGATTTCGTTTTAATAATAAAGTTGTTGGTGCGTGTATTTTATACTTTCCATTAAAAGGTTAGTAAAATTTATTATTATCTGGGCCCGAAAACCAGCGATTATCAGAAATAAATATGAATAAGACTATTGTGTCCAACCATTATTATTACAATTATTATTGTTAATATAGTGTATTAACGAACTAAAGATATCCACGGTGTATGTAAGTCGTCTTATTATATAAACATATACATAGGCGTGACCCGGAATTCAAGTCCTTTTATAAACACATAATCTTTCCACGTAGAATCGTAACCAATCCTCTTTTTGACCCGGGCTCATAATAAACAAAACCACCTAAGCCGAATCACGCTTAATCATCAATATATACAAGCCCTACTCCCAATATCACAACTCCCACCCTGTATTAATAAGAATTAACTTTGAAAGTAGAATAAGTATTTAAAATGAGTCTCATAAAAACTTTTAAAGATGAACATAAGAACCTTTGAAGACGAGCGTAGTCTCAGATGAATCTTAAATCGACCAAGTATCGAATAAAGTTATGTAATACCAAACGAATTTCATGAAATTCCCAACAACTGAGACTCCACAAAAACAACACAAGACAATATTCCACAGTGTCCAGAATTCCATCCCTGGGATACAAGAAGACATTTCTAATAACATAGGCAGGAAAATAGAAAATTCTGTAAGATGTGTCAAATAAAAGATTCTAATTTCGCAATAAACGGAAACTTGTTATGTGATATTGAGCGTTTTCATCACATCGTATATGAAGAACTTCAAAAACAAATATCTCTCAAACAACCACCGACTAAAAAGATAAAGTTTGAAGAATAAAGGTTAAGCACAACTAATATTAGAACAAACTCAAGTGAAAGTGATTAAAAAGTATATTACTGTAAATATAACCGAAGAAACATTACAAAGTATTGAACTAGTCACTAATTAAAGTTTTCTATATCCAACTAAACTCTCAATGAATAATAATCTTCTACCGTGCTTATCTCCTCTAAGCCAAGCGTTTTTTTTTTGCCGGTGCACGGTTTTCCACTACTTACATTTGGCAATATGTCATGTAGGACTGAAAGACTTCGATCATAATTGTGTTCAACAATGTTGTAGCGAGGTCAATTTATCAGCACGATTAAAACATGATATATTTACGTACCGAATGAGTGATCATCAGTTTTTTCGTTTCAGTTGTAGACTAAAGTTATACGTAAGTTATACTTGTTCTTTTTTATAAATTCAACAGTGCAAAAACTCTCAGTCTCAAAAAGTTAAAAAAAGATCTTTTCAAATATAAGTCTTTTGATAGCGCACATCATAAACTCCTGGGTGTCTATACTTTGGGAATGACTAATTTAGATTGATTGCAGATTAAAATTTTATATAATTTTTTATAAGCAATAGAGAAAACTTGTTATTAATATTAACACGAATTTCTTATATTATTCTAACATTTATTTGTTCTTTAACTATTTTATTTATTTATTTTATTTATTTATTTTTTAACTTTTATTATTAATTTACAACCTGCCAACATCTCTGGTTATAAGTTGAATGTTTTTGGCCAAGACAGAAAAATAAAAACAAAATAAAAGCATGGACCGGAACGATGTCCGGAAATATAAGTGAGTTTCTTAAAATTATTTTTTGGAGTATTGTATTGACCATTGCGTTATATTATACAATGATCATCACTTCACAAACAAGTCAATACAAAAATTACACTGATTCCTGATTTATTTTTCTCTTATTGTTCATTTTATGACATATATATTAATAAATTATTCAATCAAATAATTATTTATTTTTGACTATTACAAAAAATATGAATTATATTCTATTTTCTGTAATAATTTACGTTTAAATTACATAAATTCATAATAATTGAAGAAGATGTTTATTTTTCAGGATGTTATTTACGTATCATTTAATAATAGCAATAATTATTGCATCGACGGTATGGATACTCCTAGGTAGAAAGAAAAATGGTACCGCCTTTCCTGGACCAAAACCATTTCCTGTTATCGGAAATATATTGGAATTAATCAATCGGTCAGGTATAGTACACTTTATTTTCTTGTAAAAATATTACATAAACTAATAAAATATAGATAATAATAAACTAAATATATTGTATAATAATATACAAAAAAAAACGTAAAAAATACATAAAAATAAATAAGGATAATATAAATTAATAGAAATTATACAGTGATGGTGATTTTACAATTTTCTATTGTTTTGCATTAAAGTCGCTTTCTGCGATAAAACGAGATCGAAATGTATCGTAATAATTATTGAAATGAAATAAAATGTATGTTTGGGAGAACAATATTTAGCTCAAACCAATCCTCGATACAGATCGTTGTTGCTTGCAGATAATCTGCTTCGAATTTTTCGATTTGAAATGTTTGATTGAAGTTTTTATAAGAACTGCTGTTTCTTCTTTAAGTTGATATGTATATAATTGGATCTTTATAGATTGTATATAATTCTATAATTTATTATAATAATTATGATTATTGCATCAGTCGTAAAAAAACATACAAAAATTAAAAAAAAAAACTGATACAAAGGGCTATTGACCATAGGTCTTTCTGCCCAACTAAAATTTATATTGATTAGTTTAAAGTTGTTTATTTCATTATTGTTATTATTATTCTATTTTTAAATGCATTCATAATTATTCTACTCTTTGAACATCGATAATTTATGTTTTTTTATTTTTTTCAGAATGATTTCAAATAATCAGTGATACTTTGTAATTTCATTAAATTGTAGAATAACAAGTTAATGTTAATATTTATATTTATGCTTACTTAGCACTTAATATACTTTTTTAATAGAGATCAATGTGCAGTATGATTGAAACGGAATATATACAAGATTATGTAGCGAACGATTGATCAGTTTAATCGTTTCTGTTATTTTAACATATTTGCAAATTTTAACACAGTTTTTAGAATATTTAAAAATAATAGACAATAAATAATTAAATAAATCGGTTATGCATTTTGCTAATAATGTTTATTACATTTAAATATTGTTATGGAATTACACAAATTTCAATATATAAGCAATATACTGTGTACTGTACTTATTATATTAGTCTGATGTATTGCTTACCTCAAAGCCTTTTTATAAAACCATCAAATACGCCGGATTTAATTTAGAAATGAAACATAGTAAATTATTATTATTTAATTACTACATTTCTATTGATTTGTATTAATTATAGAATACTATGTCGGTCAAAAAACCCTTTTGATAAAATTTTCGAAGACTTTTTGCAATGCAGTTGGCTAAATTTCAGAAATAATACGTTGGATTTCTGTTTTCAGTTAAGGAATTGTTTGTGGTTTGTACAGAACCTGGGCTTAACAAAACCCCAAAAGAAAACATTGCATGGCATCAAGTCGCAAGATCTGGGTGGCCAAAATATTATTTTAATAAATCGATGGTTTCTCTTACTGTATGGTATGTGGCATCATCTTGTTGAAACCATATTTCTTCGAAGTTCATGTCGTGCAATTGATCTCACAAAGTTAGATCATTTTCAAAAAAGAACAATCCAAATACATCCGCACCAAACTGTGACTATTTATGGGTTTATCGTTTTATAACTCGAGGATTTTCATTACTCCAAATTCGACAATTCCGCTTATTAACAAAACCATCAAATTCATGGTTAAAGACGATTTTTAAAAATAAACTTTTCGTACAGTTTCCGAAAAATTGGAAGGAAGTTTAAATCCATCGTACCCAATGTGCCACTCCATATTAAAAAAATTTGCTAATTTACATAAGAAAATGGCGAAAATACTGATTTTCATTTGTAATATATATTGCATACTATATATTTTGTATTATTGTACAAGAATATTGAATACATTTTACATAGAAAATTAAAATAATGGAATAAATAAATGCAGTAAATCGAGATTTGCACTACTGATTATAAAAAAATATAATTATTAAATAAACAATATTGCACAGTTAAAATATAAACAATATTAAATTAAAAACAAAATTATAAATTTAGAAATCTATGTATATTAATAATTATTTTTAGTCCTTAGCATTATTTTTTATTACCACCCTATGTACAAATCAAGTTTGATCTACAAGTTCATAATATAAACTGCGAGAAAAAAATCAGACTCTTCCCTAAAATAATAATTTGCATTGAATTTACCCTTTCGTTTACGTAAATTGATGCATAATTATATTTAGTCTTAATTAATGTGTAATTCGTTCAATTGTTAACATATGTTACTTATTAGTATTGGAATCTAGTATTTAGAACATATAATTAACACCTAACCTCAGGGTTAAATAATATAATAAATCATACAATGATTATCACTTTACAAACTTAATCAATAGTAAAATTATACAGATTTATTGTTTCGCATATTCATTCATTAATAAAAAAAAATAATTTGTTTGTTTTTATACGAATTATGTAATCTGTTACCTTGACTTATTGATATCACTATTTAACAAACATGCAACTTTGTTATGTTAATTCCTAGCAATAATTAAATTTTTAATTATATAAATGCATAATTGACGATAATTACGTTATTTTTTCATGTATGTTCGTGACAATGTTTCATTTCAATAGTCTTTAGAAATCATTTTGGTGTGGATCAAATGAATTATGTAAGTTTAGTATCATCATGCAGATGGAAGAAAAATTTAGTCTATTCAGGACTATTGGTGTTTCGGCTTTTTTTTGTATTTTTTATTAATAAATACTGAGAAATATTTTATAAAGAATAACAAAAATAAATGAATTACGTTTATATTATATGTAATCAGGAATTTAAATTCATTTAAGGAAATTTCTTAGAAAAGCACCCTCTGCAATGAATTTATTAGTCAATAGTGAAACCCCATATAGACTAAACACTATAACACTCTTGATCTCCTTTATAGATTTTAAAATTAAAAGAACGTCTTTGTTATTAGTTTTTATTGTTTAAAATAATATTTATTTATATTATGTAATTTGGAAGGTTACCAATGGAAACTATACCGCTCACTGTTATATTTTGTTACAGTTTTAAAACTATTTACTCGTTTCTTGTATTTGGCAGATTGTAAATAATAAATTTATTTAAAAAAATGAAATATTCTTCGTTTTCAGAAATATTATCAAAAACCGTACAGTTTATGCTGGAATTTGGGGACAACTATACTGTACATCTAGGACCGATGGTTATTACTCAAATCTGCGATCCAAATTTAGTGGAGAAAATAGTGAACGCACAAGAGTTTAACGAGAAGGCGCATTTATATAACTTTCTGCGAAGCTGGTTGGGCACGGGACTGTTAACTAGCACAGGTGAGAAAATTAAAAACACAGTAATTTTCACCCATTCTAATTGATATGATTACCTTCAGGTGAGAAATGGCAACGGCATCGAAAAATAATTACACCAACATTTCACTTCCAAATGCTGGAAAAGTTTTTGGTGATTTTCGAACTCAAGTCCTTAATACTAATCGAAAAATTGAAAAAACATTCTGATCAGATCGATTTTGATATTTCACCGTATATCTATAATTGTACACTGGACATTATTTGTGGTAATTAATAATGTTTTTGTTAGTTTGATGATTCAATGCTAGAAATTTTGTGTTTCTTTTTGTAGAAACTGCAATGGGTATTTCGATGGACATTCAAAAAAACTCCACATCTTTATATGTTCAATCTGTTAAAGATATGAGCAACATATTTTTGAATAGATTACTCTCGCCTATTAAACAAATCGACTTTTTATATAAATGTACTAGCGATTATTTATTGGAGAAAAAGTCATTGGACATTCTTCACACAACAACTGAAAACGTAATCCACAAGCGAAAGGCATTAATAGATAAACAACCTTTAAATGAAAAAAAAGTCGCATTTCTAGATATGCTATTTAACAAAGGACTTAGCTTCGATGATATTAAAAACGAAGTGGACACTTTCATGTTTGAGGTACAAATTTTCTATAAACTTATACATATAAATTACTTGCATTTTTTAGGGACATGACACCACAGGTGTGGCACTTTCTTTCATTGTATATTGCCTTTCAATAAATCCTGATATTCAAGTAATACATTTTTTCATACTATGATATGTGTAAGCTAAATCTAATGGTTGCAGAATAAAGTTTTCGCAGAACAACAGCAGATATACGAAAACGATCCGAATATAACTTTGACATATAACATATTACAAAGTATGAACTATTTGGAGAAAGTAATTAAAGAATCTATGAGACTATATCCATCAGTTCCGTTGTTCGCAAGGAAAGTTACCAGAGATTTTCATTTTAGTAGGTTTTGTCAATTTAAATTTATTATGCATTATTAATATTTAAATCGTTTTAGATGATTTTGTAATGAAAGAAGGCACTACTGCTAGTATATTTGTCTTCGGGTTGCATCGAAATCCTAAACTCTTCCCGGATCCTGAAAAGTTTGATCCCGAACGTTTTAGCCCCGAAAATTGCAGGATGCGATCTCCATACGCGTATATACCATTTAGTGCAGGATCACGCAACTGTATCGGACAGAAATTTGCTATGTTGGAGATGAAAATGACCATTTCCAGATTGATCTGGAATTATAAAATTTTACCTTGCCCAGGTTTTAAACCTGATTTAATACCTGCAGCCGTTCTGAAATCATTAAATGGCGTCCGCGTGAAACTGGTCAATAGACAATAGATTATTAGTTGTTACAAAAAATATATAATTCATAGTTCTAATAATAATTATAATATCTGACATATTTTCTACCCTTCGAATATTCCTCTCCGATCCATATAATCGAGCATCTCCAATTTATTATTATCGTTAATATTTATTTATTTATACTTTTAATATAATTTGGTATAATCGAGGTCAATGTGTCAGTATGATAGAAGATTATATAGCGAACGAGTGACCAGTTTGTTCGTTTTAGTTGTACACTTGAGTGTAGTTTTATATACACTTATATTCGAAATTTCGTAAGTTATACTCAAACTTTCTTGCAAATTCAAATATCTCAAAAAAAATCTTGTCAAATATAAGTCTTTGGACAAGATGGCAAATGGTTGAATTTGAGGTAAAAAAGTCTACATAACTTTGCGGTCCCACTAATATTTCAATTGTAATACAATATGTAGAAAATTTGTAAAATATTAAAATTTAATAGACTATAAATCAATAAGTCATTTTGCTATATAAAATCACACAAATTTCAAAATATAAACTAGTTTCTTTTAAACTATTTTCTTTTCAAAACATGAAATCAGTAAACTTTAGCAAAGATAACTAAATCTTCTAGGATCAAAGTTCTTGGAATCCTTATAATCTAAAAAAGAGATCAATATGTCAGTATGAATGATCTGTTTATTCGTTCAATTATACACTCAACACGTTTTATTTTATAAACACTTATGTACAAATTTCTGTAAGCTATATTTCATTATATATTTATAATTTATATATGATAGCTATTTGCATATACTTTTTCATGTATATATAATAAAAAGCAATAGAGAAAAGTTAATAATAATAATAATCAAATGTATTGACCAAAAAGAAACGGATACAAAAGAAAAAAAACAAATGTACAATGAGTACCTTTGACCAAAGGGAACCGAATCAGTTTCTCTAAATAAAAAATAAAAGATCAACTGTTCTTCCTTCGGTCCCGAAAAAAAAATATAAAAAGTACACAATTTCCCTGGGCATGCACAATTAGCCCATAAATAAAAAGTAAGTGAAACTATAGTAAATAAACAAGGTAAAATTATATATGTATATAGAAAAATAGATAAACACAAAAATATAAAATATATGAAAGAATAGCAGCTGCATAAAATCATCGATAATTGAGCATATAAACTAACAAACAACCAGGCAAACAAACTAACAAAGAGCACGCATCGAATACAAAAAAAACTTCATACAGGTCTGACAAGCCAATGACCGAAACCAAACGACATGCACACTACTGCTGGCTCCGAAGCAAACCTCACGATACCTGCTGTCGGTATTACGCACCGTGATGCCAAGGCAGCGTATGGTGTTAATGCCACGGGCGACACAGTACGCAAAGCTCCGCTTAAAGACCTCCATGTTATGCATAGGAGTTGTTAAAAGGCCACCACTCCGTACATTCAGACCATGCACATCGCCGCGGAACCTAATTTTCCGCAGAAGGTACGGAGGACCTCCCAGCGAGAGTTTCTCGAGGTAAAACTGGGCCGCATGCAGTCGTCTTCTACTCCTCATATTCAAAATTCCCTCACTAATCAACTTGGATGAGACGTGCGCCCATCCATTCAAGCCATACACAAAACGCACACAGGAGTTCTGAATTCGGTAAGCGTCAGCCTGCCTAAGCGTGGCCCGTACACCACATCCCCATAATCAAATACAGATAAGACAAGAGACTCACACAGATCATATCTCATCTCCATGCTCAGGACATCACGATGCATATATAGTAGCCGCAGACCCGCGAACGCTTCTTGATCAACAGGGAAGTATACTTTTTGAATCTTAAGTCGGGCTCCAGTACGAAACCCAGATTCCTTAACTCACTCGAGAACCCGACCGTCCCACCGTTCATCACAATTTTCATTCCCTCCATTACAACGCGGCTGAACCTGACAGGTTCAAACATCATTGCAGCAGTTTTAGCGTGATTCAGTTTCAAACAGTGGGACTCTCCATTGATCTTAGATTCAGCGTCCCTCATGCATTTGGGATCAAAAGAAAAATAAATCTAAGTATCATCCGCGTAGAAATGCATTTTGCAGTGAAGGACCTTAGGCATCTCTGAGACATATATATATATATAGCAAAGATGGCGATACAGCTGGGACGCCAAGATCTTCTCGAACACCTTTGACAAGGTTCGATAGGTCTCAAGTAACCAAGACAAGACGGTGGACTCTTCTTCGGGACGGGAACAACCAGAGCCTGCTTCCAGGCATCAGGAAAAACAGATACTTCAATGCAAGAGTTGACGATATGGATAAAGTAGTCTATGAGTGGGGATGAAAGAAGTTTAAGTTGAAGTTTAAAAGTATTTATTAAGAGTAGATACATACATAGAGTTATTTTTTTAAGGGGTGGCGTACATGTGAGCTTGTGCTCATTTAGCCAGAAACATGATTAGTTTTAAATAGTACAAAAAAAAAAGTAAAAGTTTTAAGGTAATAGTAATATGGTAATAGTAATTTAGCCAGAAACATGATTAGTTTTAAATAGTACAAAAAAAAAAAAGTAAAAGTTTTAAGGTAATAGTAATATAGTAATAGTAATATAGTAATAGTAATATAGTAATAGAATGAAATAAATGAAATAGGATGAAACAAGATTCAAAATTTTTATACTCATATTATCCAGCCCCACCGCATTAGACTTCACAGAACTAATTGACTGCAAAACATCTCGTTCATTAACAAACACAAAATTAAATTCCGCATCGAAGCTGACCGCCCTGAGAAGAGAAGCTCTGAAAAAATAGGTTTCAAAATGCGAACTAATATCGTCAGGGCGGTCCAGGTGACCAGGAATCCCTCCAGAATTCGACCTCAATTGCCTTTACAGTTCTAAGGGGAGCAAGTATGTCCACAACCTTCATCACACTCTCAACAAAAAAACGTACCTTCACATTTACGTCCTGGAAATCAAAGATCTCGAACCAGTCCACAGCATATAAGTTTCTGTATTCCAGCCAGATTTCTACATTTGAACACCCTCTTTTCAGACCTTTTCCTAACAATCGTTAGTGTTACATAGATTAACTTATGATCAGAGACATCGCTTGCATCCACTGTGCCATGACTATAAACACATAGCCCACGGCCAACAAAAAATTGATCAAGCAGGGTCTCAGACCCAGGAGTGACACGGGTTGGTTCATTTATTATAGACACGAGCCCACGCTCAAAGGTAACCGAGATCAGGCTGTTCGTCGATGTATCTGCATCATCAAGGAAATTAACATTAAAATCACCCACACAGATTAGGGAGTCAGTGGCAATCATAAGACTGGACAAGGTCTCCTCAAAATCTATGATGAATTGTCGATAACTCGAGCGCGGTGGACGATAAACGACACCAACAACAATACGCTTCCCACTCACAATCAACTCCACCCACAAGCTTTCAGAATGAACACAGGAGCTAGCCCGGATAATTCTATGACTATAACATCTCCTCAAATAAAGGGCAACTCCACCTCCACGAGCTCGACGATCCTGCCTAATCAGATTATAATCAGACATAGCAATCCCCTCCGATGAGACACTCTAATTCAGCCAGGTCTCCGACAAAGCCATCACATCATACCCCGAAGCACCCACACTCAGCCCGAAAGCATCCAAATTTTAACATAATGAGCGCACATTCAAGTGGCAGATAATAAACAATTTACTAGGCATGATAGACAGAAAACCGTTCACAAACAATAAGACTAAACAGAAGTCAACAAAAGTACCATTAATTCCAAAAAAAAGTATACAGACAAAAATATGCAGCAGCAATAAATAATCAAATTACAATTTATAAAATATGCAGAAAGAAAAAAAAATATAAAATAAACAAATAAATGAACTGACAAATAGCAATAAAAATAGTAAATAAGTTAATGGCAGCAGCAAACAGCAGCGACAAACAAAAAATTAACTAATTATCAATATAAAAATGAAAAAATGAAAATGAAATGAAAAAAAAATGACAAAATGTACCTAAAAAAATATGAAATAATCCCTAATATATAACAATAATAGAAAACAATAACCCAATTCTGCACCCAGATAAAAATAAACAAATATGCAGCAAGCGAAATAAAATAATATAACAGACAAAATATAACTGACAGTTGCTATTTACCCTTCACTCTTGCCGCCACTTCACCATCCCATGTCCAAACATGTTCACGTCCGTATTTCTGCACCGCAAATTTAAATAACTCACACCTTGTTTTCGTTAAGTCCTCGTGTATCATTATACTGGTTCCTTTAAATTTTGTGCGATTTTTTAGGATCTCTATCTTTTGTGCGCAATTAGAGAATCCAATTACGGCCGAGTGAGTTTTGCTGTTCACGGATTTACCGACTCGCCGACAACTTGTGATTGCGCCCAGCGGCAAGCATATATTCAGTTTTTTTTACAGCGTTATTGAACGTTTTTTCCGGTGTTTCTCCTTCTATCTCCGGTAGGTTATAAACGCAGAGATTTTGTCTCCTTTTGCTCTGCTCCATGGTATCACTGATCTTCTTCAATTCCCCGCAAAGATACAAATTCTCAGTTTTGGGCAGCTCCATCATCCTCTCAACCTTCGTATGTATACCATTCATCAATGAGCTCAGTGCCTCGCTGAGTATAACCTCAATTGTGGAAGACATTGCAAATATAACATAGTCCTTCTTAAAGGCCGAGACGATTACCGACTCAAAGTCAATAACTTGTTGCTTTGTGAGTACCATGTCAGCAACTCGTAATAACACACTTGTAATTCAACAAAAACTCAAAAAGATGCTACAGCTCCAAAAGCCTATTCACGCTTGGAGACATATGCATACATATGTATGCATATTCCTGTTATGTTGTTATTAATATTTATGAAAACTTTCTCCCCTTTGCTCTCAAATAAACATGTCAGTTGAGAAGCTGAAAGAACTGTGCGAAAGTAATTTTCTAAGTTGTTTTTGTAGTACTCTTGTTATTGTTATCTATGGACAAATGATGGCACAGGCTCTGAAATATTTTGTGCTTGCATGAGCTACAATATATTTATATAAAAAAGTTTTTTCTTGTTGTAATACAATCCGTCTGGCAGTAATACATATGGTGTATAAAATACACCACTCGAGTAGAACATAGAAATTTCAGGGCGCGAGTAGTTAAAGGTTAAAATAAAAAAAAACAATGAATATTTGTGTCTTATTTCTTTAACATATTTATTGACCAAAGGACTATTAACTAAGGTGTTTCCGCGTATATACCAATTAGTGCAAGATCACGCAATTGCATAGGACAAAAGTTTGCTATGTTGGAGATGAAGACGACCATTTCCAGATTGATCTGGAATTATATCCGTTCTGAAATCCTTAAATGGCATCCGCGTAAAGCTGGTCAATAGGCAATAGATTATTAATTTTAAAAAAAATATAATTTAAGAGTTTATTATGATAATACAAATAATTACTATAATACGATGTATATCAATTAAATATGATAGAATTAATTGTTTGTTTTTACTACAATCTAACAGCATTTACGACATTCTAGCATTAAAAAAGACTTAAATGATTTTTGTTATTGTCAAGCGATAAATACCAAGGCTCTGTATATGATATTGTTAAATTGAAAAGTAAAAACACAATCAACTTTAGACTCATCAATAGCAATGAGTCATGTAGGACGGAAAGACTTCAATCATAATTGTGTCCAATAATTATATTTATTATATTATGTTGAAATCGAGGTCAATTTATCAGTACGATTAAAACGTGATATATAAAAGTTTACGTAACGAATGAGTGATCAGTTTTTTCGTTTCAGTTGTACTCTCAACATATTCTTACTTTACAAAATTTCGTAAGTTATACTTGTACTTTCTTATAAATTCAACTGTCCAAAAACTCTCAGTCTCAAAAAGTAAAAAAAAACTTGTCAAATATAAGTCTTTTGACAGCGTACTTCAGTTTGAAAAAGAAATCGTCATTTCTTCACTCAACTGCAAGTGAAAGTATTTACAAGTTACACGTACTGTGATCACAAAGCCAATAACCTATTTACACAATTTTATGAAATATACATATAATTATTAAATTAGAAGAAAGTATTACATAAATATCTAGATAGGTACTATCTATTTTAGGTGGATTATTACATTTACGGGAAGCCAAAATGTTAGTGACTAAATGCCTAAATGGGATCCACTTTCGTGGACCACCATTTTCATCTCATGCACTCCCATTTTTTTCACTGACATGTACTCCTGGGTGTCTATACTTTGAGATTGATTGCACGTTGAAATTTTATATATTTTTTTATACGAAATAGAGAAAACTAGTTAATATCAACAGATATTTCTTCTATTATTCTAACATTTATTTGTTCTTTAACTATTTCATTTATTATGTTTCTATTCTTATCCCTTGGATAATACCCTTGGAGTCTTTACTGGAAAACTGGTAATTTACATCTTCAATGTAAACTGCGAAAATTTGCATTGCATCCTCCTTTTTTCGTTCACGACAAATGTATAATTTATTTAAATATATTTTTTTGACCAATTTTTTTAGAAATATAAGTGAGTTTCTTAAAATTATTTTTTGGAGTATTGTCGTCCACCATTGCCCACTTGTGTTATTATGCAATGATCATCACTTTACAAACAACTCAATAATAAAATTGCACTGCTTCTTGTTTTATTTTTCTCTTATTGTTCGTTTTATAACATATTCATTAATAAATAATTTAATGAAATAATTATTGATTTTTAATATTGATTATTTTATATTTTTTACCCTATAATAATTTATGTTTGAATTACATAAATGCATAACAATTGACTATATTAAGTTATTGTTTCACGTGATATATACATAAATTAAGAAGATGTTTATTTTTCAGGATGTTATTTACATATCTTTTAATAATAGCAATCATTATTGCTTCGACGGGATGGATATTGTTAGGTAGAAAGAAAAATGTTACCGTCTTTCCTGGACCAAAACCATTTCCTGTTATCGGAAATATACTGGAATTCATAAAACGGTCAGGTATTGTACACTTTAATTTTTGTCAATTAAATAAGAGACTGCTTCATTTTTATGTAATTATAAATATATTATTTCTTCATTTTTCATACTAACAAATATAAAAATAATAAAGAATGTATCTTAATAAATTAATTAAAATTAAAATAAATAATAAAATATATTAATAATATGATTACAATGTAAAGTTTCATATTTTATGTATAAATATTTTCACTTTATAGAAATAATACCAAAATGCGTAAATTTTATGGTGGAATTTGGAGATATCTATAAACTACAACTTGGACCAACACTTATGATAATAGTATGCGATCCAAATTTAATCGAAAAGTTATTGACCACTCAACAGTTCAATGCGAAGTCCCAAATGTACGACTTTTTGAGAAATTGGCTCGGCATGGGACTATTAACTAGCTCAGGTGAATAAAACTAATCAATCAATTATTCTAATTAATGTAACGTTCTTCAGGCGAGAAATGGCAAAGGCATCGAAAAATAATCACACCATCATTCCACTTCCAAATACTTGAAAAGTTTGTGGTGACCTTCGATCGCAAGTCCTTAATACTGGTCGAAAAATTGAAAAAACATTCCAACCAGGCTGATTTTGATATTTCACCGTACATCTATAATTGTACACTGGACATTATTTGTGGTAATTAAAAAAATACTGATTCAATACTTGAGATTTTGTATTTTTCTTTTAGAAACTGCAATGGGCATTTCAATGAATATTCAAGAAGATTCCACATCTGCTTATGTTAAAGCAACTAATATTATGAGCAACACAATTTTGAATAGAGTACTTTCGCCTTTGAAACAATTCGATGTTCTATATAGATATACTAGCGATTATTTATTGGAGATGAAATGTTTAAACACTCTTCACACAACAACTGAAAATGTTATCCATAAGCGAAAAGCAATAATTGGTGAAAATGTTGATTCTTTAGAAGGAAATAAGGTCGCATTTTTAGATATGCTATTTAATAAAGGACTAAGTTTCAATGATATTAAAAATGAAGTGGACACTTTCATGTTTGAAGTAAGATTTTTCTATTAACCTATATGTACTATTTAATTTCATTTTTAGGGACATGACACCACAGGAGTGGCACTCTCTTTTATTGTATATTGCCTTTCAAAGAATCCTGATATTCAAGTAAAACATTATTTTTCATTAAGATGTTTAAGTTAAAACTAATGTTTTTAGGATAAAGTTTTTGAAGAACAACAGCAGATATACGAAAACGATCCGAACATAGATTTAACTTACAACATACTACAAAGTATGAATTATTTGGAGAAAGTAATTAAAGAAGCAATGAGGCTGTATCCATCAGTTCCGTTTTTCGGAAGGGCAGTTTGTAAAGATTTTGAATACAGTAAGTTTTGTGTATTTACATTTACTTTTTAATATCTTTAATTTATCTATTTTAGATGATTTTATTATAAAAAAAGGCAGCAGTGCTAATATATTCGCCTTCGGTTTACATCGAAATCCCAAATACTTCCCAGATCCTGAAAAGTTTGATCCGGATCGTTTCAGCCCCGAAAACTGCAGGAAACGCCCTCCATACGTGTACATACCTTTCAGCGCAGGATCAAGAAATTGCATAGGCCAGAAGTTTGCTATGTTGGAAATGAAGACGACCATTTCCAGATTGATCTGGAATTATAAATTTTTACCTTGCCCTGGTTTTAAACCTGATTTGGTACCTGCAATCATCTTAAAATCCTTAAACGGCGTCCGAGTTAAACTGGTCAATAGAGAATAAAATAAAAAAAAATGTATTTTTATTATTGATTCCTCTTCTTTACATAAGTATTTGTTTTTACTATAATGTAATAGAATTTAATCATTATTGCATTTGTCCAGCGTCCATTGTTAGCGTCCATTTTTATCTACAATATATTTTATAACTTTAATGAATGAATCTCATCATCACTATATACCATAGTTTTTCAGTGGAATTCAGTGGAACCTCTCGCAATGAGCATAATTAAATCCAAAATTTTACTCGTATCATGAAAAACTTATGAAACATTTTTTCCTATATAACCTAATATAAAATTCGACAATGCGTTCCATCTTAATTTGCTGATTCGCAATTCATTAATATCGACAACGGTTCTTCTATCTTGCCGTTTGCATAGAAATTTATACAATTGAAATAAATTAAAATAAAGCTATACATGCTTAATTCACTATTTAAGGAATTTATTTGTTTTATAAGATAGTAACTGTATCTGCAAATTAGTATTGTTAGTACTTTATACTAAAAATGTTTTTAGTATAGTAATATAAAAGTAAAAATTTTCTGTTTTGATTGATATTTCCTTTTTACATATAATATAAATTATTTTCACCAAAAGTCATATTTTAATTAACAATTAGTTTGATTTGTTGTTGTGTCTAACCATTAAGTTTGGGTACCATTGAGGACAATGAGCTATACGACCAATATACAGAATAGACAAATCCCACGGAAGGCAGTGACCGTTTGCAACGTTTCTTTGTATAACTAATAACCAAACTGCAGTTTGGCGTCTTCTCAAAACCGTGCCTTACTCCTCAAACTCCTACCCCGTGCGTATTTATAAGAATTAACTTTGTAAGTACAATAACTATTTAGAAGCAGTCTCAGTAAAACCTTTAAAGATGAACATAGTTTTATAAGAATCTTAATATGATGGGCATAGTCTGAGATGAATCTTAAATCTATCAAGTAACAAATAAAGTCGAGTCGAGTACGTCGTGGAGAGCGCACGTGTTTTGTGTGCGCTCCCGATACTCGCTCGATTTTTGTGGTTTGATGGCGTCTTCTGTGAGAGGTCGTCTTGTTATAGATGACATCTTGGTGGAGCGGCAATATTCCCATTGGGAAATGGGGGGAAGACACCGGTGATCTTTGTTAAAACCATAATTAAAGAAATAACGACATGGAGGATGACTTGCTATTTCATTTAAAATGCAAGTCAACAAAAACTTATCTTCCATTAAGAACCGGGCTCGAACGTCGACGCTATCAGTTGCCACTTTTTGTAAGGAGTAAACCGTCTCAAAAATCTGAAACCCAAAGTGTTATCCGTACTGTGCTGATAGGTGCATGGCCCTGCAATAGTGGGTCTTGAACGGTGGCCTCCAGATACCTGTTGACCTCCGGTTGTAAATATTACCTTGCTGTGGTAAGCCGGCTCTGCTGCAGTTGACATCTTTTCCGAGACTACTCTTGGGATTCAAATGAATAACGTACAAAAAAAACAAGTAAGGTACCCACCTCCAAAAAAACGGGAAAAATTAATGATTTGGAGAAGGTGGTTTTACAACCCCAGTTCCTTACCATTAAAAAAATTGATGGTAATAGTTTCGAAAAGGTTAATCCCTTCTTAATAGAAAAAACCATCTATGGAATAATCGGTGAAGTAAAGTGAAATTAAGAAAATAAGAGAAGGACTATGAGTAGAAGTCTCCACTAATAAACAATCAGACAGATTAGCATCTATAACTAATTTTGGAGATCTGGCGGTAGAAGTAATTCCACATAAAACACCAAACTTTAGCAAAGGGGTAATTTACTGTCCAGATTTACTCAATTGTACTAAAGAGGAAATTCTAGAGGAGTTAAAAGGAAAAAACGTTACAGAGGTGCAAAGAATAAAACAGAAGAGGGATGGTGAATTGAAGAACACTCCTTCTCTCATCATTACGTTTAAAACACCGGAGATACCCAAAAAACTAAAAGTTGCTTTTTATAACTTAGAGGTACGGGCATTCATACCAAGCCCCTTAAGGTGTTTCAGATGCCAACAGTTTGGGCACAGCGCAGTTAGATGTACTAGCGAACAAATCTGCATTTGCGGTAAACCTCCTCACGAGGGCAAGCCTTGTGAAGAGCCGTTCAAATGTGTTAACTGTTGGATGGCGACCACTCGGTCAGATATTCGAAATGCCCAAAATACATACAGGAAGCAGAAATTCAAAGAATAAAAACTATTAATAAACTATCGTACTTTGAAGCAAAAAAGATGATCTCCTCTGCTGTGAATAGCAGCAAAACATATGCACGCGTAGCTTCGTCTCCGGCCCCCACGACTGGGGGGCTTGATATTAATGTCATTGCCGCTGTCTTGGTCTCGCTGGTGGTCCAGGCATTGGAAAGAAAGCTGAACCCACCGGCTCCTGAGGAGACGGGTGGAGCGGTGCCGGAAATCGATGGTGCCTTCAGGGTGCCGGGCCCGTCTGATACGGGCAAACGCAGACGCGATGGTGACTCTTCCCCTATATCTGGGGAGAGCACCGAGAATGAAGGTGAGACTAAAGAGTCCACCGAAAAAATTTGGCTGAAAAAGCGAGGGCCCGGTTGGGAGAAGGGTAAACCCCGAAAAGTTCGGGTGCCCTCTAGCAACCAAACATAATATTCATAGTACTATGTACTATAGATTTTTATCATATTTTATTCGTTTCGTCATATCTTTTTAATATTATTAATTTATTACATTTTAACTAATTTTAACTCATTTCATTTTATATTTTTAAACTTTTATCTGTTTTTAATTTTATTAGATTAAAATATATTGTGTTTCATGGAAGCAATAATTCAATGGAATTGTAATGGATGTAGTAGTCATACGTATGAGTTAAATATGATTTTGGAAAGAGAAACTCCCTTCTGTGTGTGTCTCCAGGAGACACACTTCAGGCCGGAGCAATCATACTCGCTGGAAGGTTACACATTACTACGTAATGATGTAACAAGAAGGTTGCAAGAAGCCGTTTCCATCGTCGAAGAGGAGACTAGAGAGAGGTTTTCGATTCTCTGAGGCAAAGACGTCTTGAATGCACTTTTGCCGTCTCAGAAGGCCCCCGTAGGGACCCCGTACTGTTTCTCAGGGGATCGCCTATAAAATGCGTAGAGCACATAAAATTCCTCGGTATGACACTTGACAAGACCATGAACTTCCGATTACACATTTCCCAGCTTGTAACAAGATGTAAGCAGTCGCTCAATGTACTGAAATGCATGGCACATATACGGTGGGGTGCGAGCTCTGACGTGCTTCTGTCGCTATACCGGTCCCTGGTTCTATCCAGGATAGACTATGGATGTGTCGTTTACTCCTCTGCGCGTAGATCTGCCCTGAAATTGCTGGACACCGTGCACACTCGGGGAATAAGGTTTGCGATGGGGGCTTATCGTACTTCGCCTTCTTTGAGTCTATGTTGTCTCTCGCCTTTGGTGTATAGACGTAACCGCTTCCTCCTGCGCTACGAAGTGGCGATGCTGTCTAACCCAAAGCATTTCAACAGCATACTCTTCAATGATATTGACAAATTCGACAAGTACGTACGTAGACCAACAACAACGAGGCCCGTCGCCGTTCGAGCCCGCGAGCTGCGTGGGCGACTAAATCTGCATCTGCCCAAAGTGCACCCTGTTGGATTTTCCGAGTGTCCTCCGTGGCTCCTTTTTCCTGATGTGTGTCTGGACTTGCATCGGTTCTCCAGGGGGACCACATCTCCGGATACTTATATATCGGTTCTGGATGAGATTATTGGCGTCGCAGCTGATTCCTTGCTAATGTTCACGGACGGATCGGTCGGTGGTGAGGGTGCTGGGTCGGTCGTGGTTTTCGGGGGTGAGGCCTACTCCTGGGCGTTACCGTCCGGCATTAGTGTCTTCTCTGCGGAACTGGATGCAATCAGGAGAGCGGTGGAGTTTTGTGCTGGATCTCCCAATACGTCGTTTATTGTGTGTTCTGACTCACTGAGCGTACTTCAGGGATTGACAAATGTCCAATCAGGAGACCCGCTTGTACAATCGGTACTGGACACAGTGTATCGCCTTAAGTGTCGGGGTAGTATTGTTCGATTCATGTGGATACCCTCGCACATGAGCATTGGCGACAGTGACTTGGCGGATTCCGCAGCCCGAGAGGCAGTGCGAGGTGTCGTCGGTCCTGACTTCCTGTATAGACCCGACGATGTTAGGAATCATGTGACTCTTAGTGTTCTAATGGAGTGGCAGTCTGAGTGGCAGATGCTGAACACTAACAAGTTGCTTCGGATCAAAAAGACTGTTGATTCATGGAAGTGCCCGATAGCCCTTGGGAGGAGAGAGCAGGTGGCCGTGACCAGACTTAGGTTGGGTCACACAAACCTGACTCATTCACATATCCTCACTGGCACAGATGCCCCTATATGTGAGACCTGTGGAGTTCCTCTGACGGTACAGCACATCGTCGAGGACTGTATAAAGCACGCTGAACAGCGCGCGGTGGCGGGTCTGCTGGGCGACCTTGTTGTCGATCTCGACAACAAGAGGGGGTCCATCGAATCTATCGTTTTATTTTTGAACGAGTCGGGACTTTTACGACAACTGTAAAGAATGTATCCACTCGGTTTATTTTAATATGTTTCTTTTATCCATTTTACTTACTAGTTGCGTTATTTTAATATGTTACCTATTTTACTTGTATATATATTTTATTTATTTTAACTTACTTGTTACTGTATTGTGTATAAGTTCTTTTTGATTGTGATAGAGGCTAATGACCTAAGCTGTTGATGTCTCATAAACATAAAAAAAACAAATAAAGTTATGTAAAACCAAACTAATTTATTAACAGAAGAAGATATCCCACAGTGTCCAGGAAACTATCCCAGGGACACGACATTGTAATATTCAAATGGGACCATAATAAATTCAAAATTATTCAGAAAAATATAAAACGAGTAATTATAAATAATAACTCGTAAATATATATTTTTTATTCAGTAAAATTTTAAAAACATGTTTTTAAATAAATAATCAATATTTAAGATAATATAAATATCAGTTTTTTTTATTAATATATAATTATAAATTGATTTTTATATTTACGACCTTTTTCTAAGTTTAATGTAAATTCCATTTGACGACTTTAGGATTACCTCATATGAAATTAACGGTTTCTTATGTGAAACTGGAAGAATTTCGAAATTTCTCACAATTTTACAAATTGCTGACTTCATTGATAGCATAGCAAACCTTTGACCTGCAATGATATTGTTATTTTGTTTTTATAAACTTCATTCAAAATGTACATGCCTATGCAATTTCTCTGACCAGCGCTAAATGGAACAAAACTGAAAGCACTTCTTCTATTTTCTTCTTTCAATTCAAATCTTTCAGGAATAAAGCTCTCGGGATTCTTGTAATGTTCTGATTCACGATGCAAACCATAAACAAAAACTCCCACACGTGCTCCTTTTGGAATCAGTTTATCATCTGCAAATAAAATAATTAATGGTTTATTATAATATGAAAATAATGGTTATTACTATAGTACACATCTTCGTAAACATCTCGAGCAAACATCATAACTGGTGGATACAAACGCAAAGACTCTTTAATAACATTTTTAAGATACTTCATTTCTTGAAATTGATTGTAGGTAGGTTCAATATCTGATCCTAATATCGACGCGATTTCTTCATATAGTTTATTCTAAAACATGATAAATATGTAAAAAACAAATATTAAAATATGCAACAAAAATTTATCACCTGAACATCTAAATTGTTAGACAATAAATAGAGAGTGAAGCTAATTGCAGAAGCGGTTGTGTCGTGGCCCTACAATTACAATTTTATGTCACTGTACCATAATTAAATACAATTGGTTTACTTACAGCAAACATGACGGTATTAACTTCATCTCTTATTTCATCATTGCTTAAACCAAACTCCAGGAGAAGATCTAGAAAGAAATTTCGCTTCTTGATGCCAATATCATCAACATCAGGATTCGTCTCAGCTTTATTTTTAAATTCTTCCCTCCTTTCACTTATAATATTGTTCGTGATCTTGTGTAAATATTTCACAACGCTTTTCTCCCTCCAATAATCCAAAGTAAATTTATATAACAAGTTTGATTGCTTGATTGCGGAATAAATTCGATTTTCAATAATCTGAAGAATCTGTCGTGTCGCCACAACAAACTTTGAATTATTGTCTTCCTGAGCGTTAAAAGAAATTCCCATTGAAGTTTCTAAATTTAAAATTTCGTACTGTAAATCAAATAATATGTTTTTTTTATTTACACTCACCACAAATTATATCAAGAGTGCTTAGAGTCACAAATGGATAAATATCGATTTCAGTATCAACGTGATTACTAAGTTTCTTTATTAAAATGCTTGAGTTGGAATTTAATTGTTCAACCATTTTCTCGAGAATCTTGAAATGGAACGCTGGCGTTATTAATTTTCTATGTTTAGCCCAAATATTTCCTAAAATCAAATATATCATTGAATTTGTATATCTCTGCAGATAATTGAATTACCTGGTGCTGAGATTAATCCATTTCCGAGCCAGTTTCTCATGAATTCATAATCCCAAGATTTTTCAATAAGCTTTGGCGACGTTAATATGAATTCTATAAAATTTGCATCAGTGGTCATAACGTAAGTGGCAAAAGGTCCCAATATTAATTTGAATGATTTCCCACATTCTTTCCGATATTTAAGCAGATTTGGAATAATATCTTAAACTCGTTATTAGTATAATAAATAAAATTATTTTTATTCCTCACCTGTTGGTGTTAAATTCTCTAGAATATTTCCTAGAAACGGTAGAGTATTTTTAGCTTCTGGATATGCAGACATCCTTGCAAAAAATGTGCGTCTGTCTGAAATCCATTTCAGGATCAAGCCACATATTATTAACAGCAATACATACAATATATACATAGTGATCACAAATGACTTATAATCTGTAAACAGCTTTATATATGTACTTGAGATTCACACAAATTCAGACCTTGAAACTCGTTTTTATTTTGTTCTTCATTTAATAAAAAATTAAATGTGCGTAGATATTGCCTGCACTCTTTCTATCATCAGATAAAAATTAATATTATTTATGTATTGTTTTCATTAATTCAAAACAGTTATGAACTTATCATACAAAACTGCAAGGTCTTCATATAAAATAGGTCAATTAATGAATGCGCTTAACGCATGCAAATTAAAAATAAATTGCATTGTCTTGCATACACATTTTATGTTGATATCATTAAAAAAAACATTTATAATTGTTTTGTTCTTAATAATATATATTAATGAGCTTCAAATAGAGTATTCTCAAGTATTTTTTTTATTTTTGTATGCAAATAGTTTTAATGAAGGTAGAAAGACTGCTGTCAATAATCTTTTGTTTGTAGTTATATAATAAATGTCGATTAATAATTTTAATCATATGATCTTAGTAAATTACATGTAATCATCATTGACCTTGTATGCATCGATTGCTGAGTTTGAGCCTAATTTTTATAATTATTTTCTATCATTTCTCTATTAAGTGCTAATCCAAATCCATATTAATTATTTCATAACGCTCAATTAAGTGATAAAATATGACACAAGTCATGGATGGTTTTGAATATACTTCCCCCAACTCATTAAACTTAAATGTTGGTAAGTAACAGACGACTTATAATATACAATTTCCTGACTTGCAAATTTCAAGTTCAAGTTTAAATATCTTGTATTTATATATAAGAAATACAACTATATAGGGTATGGTATTGTATGAAGATTGCTATGGGTTTTTGCCTCTTTCAGCCTTCAACCCTGCCTTGCAAGACAAAGCATGAGAATCGAGGATCGCCAGAAGTCAGAATTCATTGTGCTTTATGTAAAGTCGAACTCAAAAAACGAGCGATTTTAGCTCGACATCAGAGGCTGCCAAACGTTTTGACCGTCAGCCCTTCAAAACTTGAAGAAACTCTTGAAGGATTGACTTATTATCGTCACCTCTATTGTAATATTGCGTAATTACAATAGAACAAGCAAAATTCTTATTTGAATATTACTAGTAAAATAATCTCTTATATTTGTCTCGACCCCTAACACTGTTATATCAACCACTTTAGGGATCGATATTGATTATATACATATTAATAAGTGAAATTATAGAAGAAATAAACCCAATTATTCACATCACATATCATATGGATATATATTTATGTATAACTATTAATAAAAATATCCTACTTATAAATGTATAAAGTACCTAAAATTAAGTAATTATTTACCCAGTGCAATTAATTCTAATATCAGCATTTTTCCGCTCGGTGACTCTGACCCTGACCTGATCTATCTGCATTAAGGTTATCATAATCCTGAAAAATTGCAATTGTGTAACATTTACTCCTGCTTCAAAGATCGAACAGTTTTAATATATATTTATTTCAAAAATAATGTAAATGTCGTCATTGTTTACTGTCACCAAGTTTTTAAAAAGTTGTAAACTCCGGAATCAATATATTCAATAATATTAACACTTATACTAACATTAATTATATTATTAAACACAATAATACTTCAAGATATATAAGGTAATTTAAAAATTATAAAATCCATTTTCCTTATGATTTTATAATTTTTAAATTCCAGCGTACTTCTTGTTAGATTCTAGTAAAAACAATAATAATCTATTAATAATCTATTTTCTATTGAACTAACTACATCAGGTTTAAAACCTAAGCAAGATAAAATTCTATAATTCCAGGTTAATCTGGAAATCATCGTCTTCATCTCCATCATATCAAACTTCTGTCCGATGCAGTTGCGTGATCCTGCACTGGAGACCGCATCCTGCAGTTTTCTGGACTAAAACGTTCGGGATCAAACTTTTCAGGACCCGGGAATAATTTACGATTGTAATATGTTGAATGTCAAAGTTATGTTTGGATCGTTTTTGTATATCTGCTGTTCTTGAACAAAAACTTTATGCTGGAACCATTAGTTTTAGTTTACACATATCATAGTATCAAGAAATATATTACTTGAATATCAGGATTCATTGAAAGGCAATATACAATGAAATATAGTGCCACTCCTGTGGTGTCATGTTCATAGAAAATAATTTAAGTGTATAGGTTTATAGAAAATTTAGTTCGAGGATTAGGTTGTTCGTGCCGCTTTTTCACGTAAATTAAACATAAAAACTTGTATATATTGATACATCAATTTTTAACAATTGAGTCACATTTTTTAATATTTCTGTTATTATTACTAGCAGACCTTTAAAACTGAAATTACTAGCTGTAAACTTTGCAAATTACTTTCGCATAATTCTTTCACCATAGCTTTAGTTGCATTTTTTGCTTTCCAGTAATAAAAAAGTAATAAAGTTAAAAATGAACTTTGATCTGCAAGAAAATATTACACTGTCACAAATCATTTGATCCAAACCAAATTTATTTCTAAAGACTGTTGGCAATTGTTTATTTTTACAATATTTAGGCCTACAAAATTGGGGGATTTAAAAAGTATGAGCAAATTGAATTCTAATTTGTGGTTATTGTGTTTGGGAATTGCCAATGAAACTTTACAAAAATCGGCACAAACTTTCCGGATAACTCAATAAATTGTGTTGAGGGTAGTTTAAGTCCACTTATTTTTACACAGCTTAGTACCTGTTAATTAGTAATTATTTCATCAATAAATATTCAAATTATGTATTCAAATCTTATCCGATTGATGAATTCCAGTATATCACCGATAACAGGAATTGGTTTTGATCCAGGAAAGATGGTAACAGTTTTTACTCTATCTATGAGTATCCATCCCACCGAAGCAATACTTATTGCTAATATTAAAAGACACGCGAATAACTTTATGTGATACAAACATATTATTAATGTATGTACATTGCATGTGAAACAATAACGAAATTACTGTTAATTATGCATTTATGTAATTAAAACTTAAATTATTGCATGGAATTAAAGATAATTAACACGCAATTTTTGTTAAATATTGGTGTCAATGGGTCAAGGTGACAGGTAATATAAATCATAGTAAAACATAATAAACAATTGTTTGATTAAATTATTTACGAATGAATAGGCTATAGAACCAACAAATTAATAACTCGTGTCCGGAAAATAGTTCGAAAAAATATTTGTTCAAAAGAAATTTATTCAAAGAAAATTTGTTCGAATGAAATTTTATAAGATTGTAACAAAAACGATTTGTATAATTCCCTATTAATCTTATGTATAATTTTACAATATTCCACAATCTGAACAGCAAATCTCGTTTTACTGCCATATTAATTAATGTTGTAATTTTATGCAGTAAAATGAATTAATGTTTTGAAAAATAAATAATTGAAAATAACTTCGTCATGAAATATATTGTATACAATTAATTAATTTATAACCATTTCTTTAAATAATACAGCAATACCTCGCAACAATATCTATTTGAAACCGCACTAATCGAGGATTTTATACCTATCATTTATGTATACATAGTAATTTCGTGTACTAATTTGTCAGATCTTAGTTTTTAGTTAGCAATTAAAATTTAGTTTTTTTTTGTAAATTTTCAAACCATAATATAGTGAATCCGCACTAATCGAAGCAGCACTATTGCAGTACATATTTATTTATGAAACCAAGACATATAAAATCTATTTTAATATGTAATGATTTTAAAACTTAAAAAATACTTCTATATCTGAAGATAAGTTCTTCAATAGAAATTTCAACAATAATAAGATAAGACTCCCGTACATATCTACGACTCTTTACAAAGTCTGAGACATTCCTAATCACAATGTATATGCATTATATTTTGATAACAATTATAGGTGCGGTAATTCTAAAATGGATTACAGATAGAACGTTTTTTGTAAAACTGTTTGCATATCTAGAATCTAAAAGTATCATACCTTTCCTGGGAAATATTCTAGATTATTTATCACCATCAATGAGAAATATAAATCATTTAATTTTGTTTACTATTTTTAAATTTTAGTCGTTGTGTCAAGTTTGATGCAGTAACTAAAAGAGTCCGGGAAATCTTTCAAAATAATTTTAGGGCCTTTCTCTATATTTGTTTTGACCACTGATGCTAATTTTGCAAAATTTATACTAACTTTACCTAAGATGATTGAAAATTCTAGGGATTACGATTCATGCGGAATTGGCTGGGCAATGGATTAATCACCGCACCATCAGGCAATATTTGGCATAAGCATAGAAAATTGATAACACCAGCTTTTCATTTTAAAATCTTCGAGAAAATGGTTCAAAATTTTAATTCAAATTGAAGTTGAAATAGAAATATATTTGTTGCACTTTGTACTTTAGATATTATTTGTAGTAAGTGGCTATTTTATTTTGATTTATTTTCGGAAATATATACCTAAAAACTTCGATGGGAGTTTCTTTCAAAGCTCAGGAAGAAAATAATTCAATTTTTAATAGTGCAAATTCTTGAAATTATTGAAATATATTCAGCATGCAAACAATCTCATTTATTATATAAATTTACATTGGATTATTGGAGAGAAAAAGTCGTTTTGAAATATATACATAAGATTACAAAGGTCATTAAAAATAAAAGGAGATTAACATTTGAATCCCAAGTTTTGACCAACCATGAAGAAGAAAGTATTAGTTCCAAGAAACGTCATTTTTTTCTAGATCTTCTATTGGAATTTGGTTTAAGCGATGATGAAATATCTGTAAGAACACTAATTTTAGTTAATTATGTCATATTGTGTATCGCACAACCCTAGAAAGGAATTACCTTCACTCTGTATTTATAATCTAATCATTTAGATGTTATGTATATTTAATATTTGTTACTAAATTTTGCTTTTCCTATTTTTGAATAAACTGCATAAAAAAATACGTGAGCATTAGGGTCAGACATTGAACCTACCTACCAGCAATTTCAAAGTATAAAGTATCTTGAAATGATTATTAAAGAAGCTATGCGTTTGTATTCACCAGTTATTATGATTTCAAGGAACGTTTACGAAGATGTCATATATGGTAATTATTACAGTTATAGATATTTAAAACATATATTAATGAAATAGCAGATGGTATTGTGATTCCAAAAGGCACACAAGCGGGATTTTTTTTATTTATGGTATACATCGTGAACCCGAATATTTTAAGGATCCAGATCCATTTCTGAAATATTCGCATACGAGCAGCAAAACAACATTAGTACATTCAGTTATGTTCCATTCGGCCAAAGAAATTGCATAGGTTTATTCATTGTATTATGCTCGAAATTAAAATTATTTAATTATTTTTATTTGCAGGTCAAAAGTTTGCTATGCTTTCAATGAAATCAACAATTTGCAAAATTGTAAAGAACTTCGAGTTGCTACCAGTTCCTCATAAAAAACCGATAATTACATTTGAGATAATTCTAAAGTCCATAAATGGAGTTTATGTAAAATTCAGGAAAAGTTTTTTTTTTTAATAAATTTTTTATTCACAATACTGGCAACGAATAAATAGTTTTGGTACTATCACGAAATATACAAATTATCTAATATAATATAAATAAATATTAATTTTAACAATAAAATGAAATAACTAAAAACATTTTTCTAATTTTAAAATCTACAAGGAAGATCAAGGATGTTATACATTTTTAGTCTATGGGGGGTTTCACTATTATCTAATAAATTCATAGCTAGTGCATTGGGGTGCCTTTCTAACCGATTTTGATATCACTCACTAAACATAGATTTCACTTTAACGGTATTACTTTGGAGGTCATTGTGTATATAATAGACATTTTTATCAGCTATTTTTATATATAAAGTTTAGAAAAATATCTTAACCAATGATTTTAAGTTAATTAATAGTGTCAGTTAATTAATAGAATCAGGTTTCTGAATTCAATATAAATGTACAAAATATAGATTTTTATAATTGAAAAATTTTATCAGCTATTTTTATTAACTATCTATAACTGAAAGGAAAATTGCATTTTCATCTGAAAAAAATGCCTTATTTTTTTATTTCTTTCGTTACCCGTTACTTATCTCGTATAATGTAATATAGCGAGGAAATTTCCTTTCCATCGTCATACCTAGTGGAAAGGGAATTCAGCGCTGTTACTAATCTAATCTCCTAACGAAAAAAAGAAACAGACTGGACATCATTAGCTAGGACATCATTAGATTTAAGATTAAACCTAAATTGACGCCAAATGTTGATAATTTATTATTAAAGCATCAGGTTCATTTTTCTCACTAAAAACATTTACTTATTTTATGTTTAAGTTTATTTTATATTACGTATATTTTATATAACAGACACAAAATTTTATTTTGAGTAGTTTTAATTTAAATTCAATTAATAAATGTATAAAACTTAACATGTGTTTTTACTTTAAGTGTTTAACACTAAACTTCACTACAGTTAGAAATTTACAAAAAATTATAAACAGGTAAGTAGGGGTAGATAAGTACCCAAAACCGAAAAACATGGGTCTACGACACAAAAAAGTTTGGGAACCTCTGATTTAAGGGTTTTTGAACTTCGCTGATTGTTCAGTACTTTGTCGATTTGGTGGTTCTTAAAAACGAATGTCTTCTATCAAAGAATGAAAATATACTTTGTGACCCGCCACCCGACTCTGGCCAAATCCCAAATCTCTGCACTGCAATCTCAGATTTCCTGGTGAGTTCGCGTTCTGTAAACTCAAATTATTAATTGAATGTTATGCAACCGGACAGTATTCAGTTACCATAAAGTTACCTATATGAATACTTGAGAAAATTTATTACAGTAGATTTGTTGACAAAAGGATAATTGAACAATAGTTTAAGTTTAAACGAGTTAGGAAAAATAACATACACATGTTGGTTTCGATAAGAACCATTTGTAGTCAGAAATAGGTCTATGTTTAAAATGAAAACATAAATAAAACTTATCAATAACAAGTGAAATACTATGAACATTAATAAAGGCAGTTTTACACAACAATAATCAATCAAGACGGTACCAAATTTGAACTACTTGTAAAACATTTAATATATTTCCAATCTTATGAATTATATTTATTAGTTAGATTATTATTGATATGAAATATCGTATATGAAACAATAAAGAGTATGTTTGAAAAAAAAGTGAACTACCTAGTAGGATTTTTTTTTTCCGCCTGCTACCTCCCTCTAGGAGGAGCCTCTTCCGAGTAGGAAATTAGATTCATTTTAGTTTATTTAGATAACGCAGCGCCATCTACAACTACGTGATTATTAATTATCGGGAAATCCCCTCAGAACTGCTAAGAACACAAAGTTCACTATAGTGTGTTCTAGTAGTAAAACGTTTATTCATTTTTTTTTAGATGCATATCACATTGTGTATAATTTGGATCATCTTTCCTGGACAATATTGTTGATTGTATTTTTGTTGTTTATTGTATATCTAGATCAAAGTCTATTAGTACAAACTAGTGTATTACGCCATAATGAATAAAAGTAAGTAGAAATTAGCTGCCAATTTGTAATAATAATAGAAGAACTCTGGGGGACCTGAAAATAACCTATAAATTGTTATTTGTTTTAGATAAATCAACACAGAAGATTGTGCTGAAAAGACGTAAGTATATAACAACCAGTGAATTCCAGTCAATTATGACAACTAAAATTAATTACAGAAAGACTTTCTTAAATATAGATTGATTTTTTTTATAGCGTTAATGCGTTTGTGTTATTTTTAGAGAGGCAAAATGTTATCCAGCAAAACCTGGAACATTTGGAGCAGCACACATTAAAGAAGAAATTTGCACAGCAGAAATACTATGAATCAAAGGCAGGCATAAGCCCTTTGAAAAAGAAGTATGCCCAGCAGCCTGTGCACGATAGGTTAGGTTCAAATAGCCCAACCAGTCAAGTGCCAGTTTCAAATAATGTACGGAAAACACAAAAACTGAAGCAAAGAGTAGCTGCACCCAATAATGGCATTATCACCAGGAGGTACAGACAATTCACAAATAGTAACTTGATTAAATTAAAAGCACAAAATAGACTGAATGTTATCAAACAAAATGGAAATATAGAATTGAATGGAAACCCGAGAGGAAAGGTTATATTGAAAAGAAATAGAGTGCTTAACAAATCAAATGTCAAGCCATTAAATCTAACTATACAGCTAAAAAATACTGAAGAAAATGGAACTAAATATAGGAGGCATAGTATGAAAGCATCTTTGAACCCAAAATTGCAAAAGGAGATTCAGATCGTCCAATCTCAATGTACAGAAAACTGTGTAGTTCCTAACATGACTATTGCCTTACGGGATGTTGGATACACAAAGATGTCTTTACATGAAAGATTCTCAGATTATTAAAGTTTATGTTACATTCAGAATTTATAATATTAGTTTTATGTTCGTTTTCTATTTTCTAATGGAAATATTTAAGTAAATATTTTTATTTTGTACATAGTTTATTTAATATTTCTATTCTTAACATTAAAATTACTTTTATTTGTTGTGTATTATTCATAAATAATATTGTTCAGTTTATTTAAAGAGATAATTTCTTTTAACAAAGCAATAAAATATTATTTTTGTATTAATTTATTTTATTTCTAATTATAATTTATTTGATTATTAAGTATGAATATGAAAATCATAAGTTTATATACAAGTATTTAATGAATATGAGCAACTTCTAGAATGAAACACCGATTATCCGGGTCTGGTTAACTGTGGTCGCGGCCGCTTAGTGTTTACTTATTTTATAAGCTAAACAAAATTGTCTGGAAATCTGCCGTTTGGTAAATCAAGATAAATATTTTTTATACCTACTCTTACGGTTATACATATTACCTTTTAACCCTCTATTGTATACTATTCCCAAATGGGAACATAATGAGATCTAGCCATCAACATTTTTGTAGTTCATTTACATGCAGTTCCTCTTAAATGTGTGTTCCCACATTTAAGAGATTTTCAAATTTTTACATTAAAAATGTGTGTTTTATAAAAAAAATACATAGATATTAAGTTTTTAAAGTGAATATAACCGGTGTTTGTATTAACCGTGTCTTCTCAATTATCCGTTCTTTAGTTTTTTCGGAAAATCCACAGAACCACAGAAAATTGACGTTTTATTTATAATTTGTTTAATAAGAAAAAAAAATGACGGAAAGACCTCGGTCGATAGCTCTTTGGCCAGCCTATTAATATTTTTTTTTAAATTTATGTTATAATTTATTTATTTTGAGACTTGTATTATTATTTAGTTTATTATTATTATCATTTATTTATTTATAGAATGTACTTTTTTGTATTGATATCTGGCCAATAAATTATTATTATTAATTAAGAAAAGAAAGTATATTTGGTCACTGATAACAGAGCGGTTATTTACCATTGCTATACAAGTATGAACCTTTCTCATAATCAAAAAATTAGAATAGTGGAAACGCAGTTTTCCGAACATAAAAGTAAAACATAAAAAAATACGAACATAATTTGATTTCTATAACAAGCAACTTAGCAATATGACGTGAAATCAGTTTTCCAAAAGCATTTAGCATCAAATTATGTTATTGCGATTGGCATAATGCGTCGAAAGGACGCAGCTAAATGGAAGAGGCTCCTCCTAGAGGGAGGTAGCAGGCGGAAGAAAAAAAAATATGTTTGACAACTGATATACACATTTAATTTTATATATTGTCAAGATATATTCTCCTATTGTTATCAAATTAGTTAATAACATTTTAAGATGTGATTGTTCTGTACTTAATTTTACTAAAACGTCTTCATACAATATTTTTCCCGTACTTTCAGAAATTAATAATAGGCAACAAATTTCATTATTTGATGTAATTTGCTCAACGAATGGTTTTAATAAATCAAGTAAACGATATCTTCTTGATATTGTTTACTTGATTTACTAAACTTTATTTAGATGTATTTAGTTGTACAATAAATCTTGTTTATTATTATTAAAACATGTTTAATACATTATACAACTATAGTTGTACCATTCAATCATCTTATTTTTATTATTTTAAAGATGTTATGAGCGGAAGGAATTGTCTAAAGTAATATATTATATATAAAAATAATTTCAAACAAAAATCAATAGATTGAGTATAATTGGTTGCATATGTATCAAATATAATAAACATTATTATTTGAAAGAACAAAAACCAGATTTTAATTCATGTTTGTTACGGATTCAATGAAAATAAATTAATTAATAATTAATTATTGTTCTTAATGTTTCAAACTTAACATTTCCTTATTGTTTTTATACTTTATGGGTTTTAGATTACATAATTTTCATATCTTCTATTGAATATTGATTAGCAAATATTAATCGTTTAAAGTTCGGTTTTTATGTAGAAAAAAATAATAACATTTTTAGGATTATTTAGTGAAATTATATCTATAGACATTTTCTATAGATATTGATTATTTTTAAAATTAACTGTACTTCAGGATTCTCCCCTAAATAGAATATCATTTATTAAAACCTTCAATGAAAATGAGAGTGAGTCGAGCCTGAACTTGAAACTGGTTACGTGAACTAGGTCACGATAGGGGGAAGAACGTACATAAAAGGGGTTGCAGGCACTCGGGTTTTGCCATCGTATGGAATGCGAATTTTATGGAAACGACCGTAGAAGCGGAAACGCCGCCAACTGAAAATACCTATCTACATTAAAGGATTAGCGACAATTGAAGCCTACTAATAGAATGAACAGTAACATTCAAGGCCAGGCTAATGCCCCGAGGACATTTGAATCTTTGTTTATCAACTCCTATTATTGTTTTGTTTAACGAAGCTTTAATACTTGGTTGAAATACTATATTGATGTTTTTAATACTTACGTTAAATATTGTTAACATTTATTTATTTTAATATAAAAATAAAGAGTAAATCGTTTTTTCTGATCTTTAAAAGTTATATAAAACATTCTAAATTCAACATAAATACGATTTGTTTGTTACTTTATTATTATTTCACCGTCATATAATCTAGCAATCAACCTTCGGAAATCTCACAAACACTTGTTTTGTTTAACGAAGCTTTAATATTTAGTTGAAATGCTATCTTAGACCTTTAGTATTGTTGTTGTGAATCATCTGCATTTGTCGCAAATGTTATTAATATAAAATTATATTATTTATAATAATATTAATTATATTTTTTTTTTTGCATATATACCTATTATTTTTACAACTTTAATAAAATTAAAAATTTATATTTTTTTAATACGTTAAATATTGTTAACATTTATTTATTTGAATATCAAAATAAAGAGTAAATCGTTTTTCTGATCTTTAAAAGTTATATAAGACATTTTAAATTCAACATAAATACGATTTGTTTGTTACTTTATTATTATTATTTCATCCGTCATATAATCTAGCAATTAACCTTCGGCAATCTTAGAACCACGTACCACATAGCTCAGATTGTCAATACTGAAACTGAATGTCTTTCTTCCTGGTCAATGTAAAATTTGTATGTAAAATGTATTTGATTTTTACTTGTATAGTGAATTTTCCCAATATAAACTAATGTAACATACGATAATGAGTTCCATTTTGCGAGTCATTTTTCGTACAATTAATTTGGTCGTTATGCGAGGTGCTCGTTAAGTAATTTAATTTAAAAAATATATAATTAAAATTTATACAAAATAATTATTTTATTAACTGCAATGAATTTGAATTATTTTCTGATAATAATACTAGCAGTATTTTTTTGTAACTCATCTATGTTTTTCATAGAGATACAAGTATTTTATTTTATTACTGTTTTTATTAGAAAATAATATTTTCTTATAATATTGGTTCAATGTAAGGTTAATTTATTATAAACTGGTAGTATTTTTAGCACAATGTCTATACATTTTTCATCATTTCATTAAACGTCGTCATTTTATCTCCGAGCTTTTTTCAAGAAAGTTAGACAGAATCGAGACTAAAAAAATATAGACTTTTGTCCAAAGTTTTTAAGTATAAAAAGAAGCATATTTCGTTAGTGGATCTGACCGACAATGGAATGATATTGGACAGTTGCCAGGATATGTGGCGCTAAAGAACTAAAGTGAAACAAAAAAAGGCGATCCATTAGGGACACGTTAGACAAATAAATATATTATCTGTGCATTTCATTTGAAACAAGTAAAAAGATGACTAAAAAATATGTTTTCTTCATTCATCTCTTATCATTTTGTCCTTGTTTATTATAATACAAATTTGATAACGATATTATATTGTATCCGCATTTAATAAGTGTTTGTGAAAAACACATTTTAAATCTAATATCATGGTAAATCAGTTAATAATTGTTTTCAGTAATTTTATTTAATAAAAATAATGAAAATGTGTTTTTAATTGATTTTTAATTCACAACAATTTTCGATAAAATCTTATTTATATACATTATTAGTAAAAATACAGTTAATTTTAAATATATTTTGTCTATCATTTTGAGTTACTGTTAATCTAATTAAAAAAATATATAATAATAGTTTCGTTTTGTTTTCTTGGACGGAAAGATTTTTTATGGACATATACAATAAATTATGTTTATTATTAGCTTTGAAATACAGCAATTCAAAATTAAACAAGAGAAATAATTACTCTTTTAAACATATTTATTGTCAATATTACAAACAATCTCTGGTAGATTATTGATTGTAATTAATTTTCAATTACTAAAAAAAAATGTTGTTGCAAGCAGCAATATTATCGTAAACATTTTAAATAATATACTAACAAGAATAGTAAATACATTTATGAAAGAAGAAAATGCTTCGAATATTGATAAAATACAATAAAGGACCTGAAATAAACTTTCTGAAACGAGATGTGTCATTCCTGGTAAAGATATATTCAAGGTTCGGCCAACTTGTTCATTCTTCAGATAGAATATTCTGCTTAAAATGTAATCGTGATCTTCCCGATTTAGTAAAACAAAGTTTTTTTTTGTTTCGGTTTACTAGCATCAAATTCTAAATAATTTTTTTTTCCAATGTCCATGATCAACCAACAATCGTTTCGCAATCTATGCATTGGACAACCTTGATAAATACTATATTTTATATTATAGCACATAAAGAAATGAACCATAAGATTTTTTGATTTAGTTTGCTAATATAAAAAAAAACGTATATAGAATTATTGTATTTATTGTTATGTTAAAGCATGAATGATATTATGGAGATCCTCAAATGCAAAAAATAGAACACAGACAACAATAAACTGTGGATTCATTTTAATCATAGCACTTCAATTAATTAAAAAGAATAATAAACGATTCTCTATTTTTTTATATTTTATGTTAAAAAAGACATTTGATTGTCATTTTTTCTGAACCTTTGTTTTCATCTATTTGAAAATATAAAAGAGCTGTCCGGGCGTTTCATTTAGCATGAATCCTACTAAGCACATCCCTCATTTTCATCTCCTTTTTAAAATTACATTTTTTTTAAATAATATGTTCGTATCCAATTAATGCTGTAAAACGACTTTTGTGTCATCTTTGAAACTCTCTTCTCCACTTCCATTTTTGCATATGTACGTACGTATTTACGGTGTGAAATATAATATTTGTTCGTCATTTGTGCACAGAGTACGTCAGGAAATGTGTTACATTGTTACTTTAACGATTGCTATTAATTAATGTTTCATATTCACAAATTTTATAGACCGAATCTAAATTAATTATTAATAATTTTGTGGAATCTTTATGATTTTCAATTTAATTATATTTTCAAGTTATATTTTATTATTTATTGTGTATATGATAATTAATATTAAAAGATAATTTGATAATATTTTCAAGTAATTATAATATTAATATTAGTTAGTATTATATAATTTGTGATTTTAATATATTCTTCAGATTGCGTGCAAAGTTGTATACTTTAGTATAGATTAAGATTAGCATATTGCACAAGGAAAGCAATGCATGCAATATTATAGATTTTATGCTAAAGTGTGTAAAAAAGATTTAATAATAACAATAACTGCAATGACTGTTAACAACAGACAATATATAGTCAATTTATGTTGTAGATTTTTATAAAACTATATTAACAAGTTTATAAATTAAATTAAATTTATCGTAATGTTGATTTATAAAGACAGAAATGCTTATTTCAATAGGCTTTTGCTCCAAATCAATAAAAAAATTAAATTATACTTTGAAGATTTATAATTTAACTATAGAAATTTAAACATTTATAAAGACAGAAATGCTTATTTCAATAGGCTTTTGCTCCAAATCAATAAAAAAAATTAAATTATACTTTGAAGATTTATAATTTAAGAGATAATATAATTTAAGATTTATAATTTAACTATAGAAATTTAAACATACAAGAAAAAATAAATGAAACAAGTAGGATCAAATTTAAACTGACATAAGTATATAGAAAAGTTTATTTACTGCAAAGTATATTGAATTCGTTTCGCCTTTCCGGCGAATAAATACAGATTTACCGAGATTGTTTAGTTGCTTGTCTATCTGTTATAAGTTTAAAAAGTTTGAAAGAAATATCCTGAAACTAAATGTACTTTAACTTTTATTCGAATAAATATTATTTCAAAATCAATACTTTTCACTGCAAATTCTTTTATAAGCATAAATAATTAATAAAAGCATGTAAATAAGAAAAATGTTAGTTTAGTTTACAGGTAAATATTAATAATAATAATTTAAAAAGATATATGTATCATGTAGGATGGATACTATTGGCTATTTTTCAACTTAAAACTACATTTGTGTCGTAATTAGTTCTTATAGAACGAATATATAGATTAAAAAGTGTTAACATGACTTATTTATATTATTGCACTGTTTTTTTTATATATGACAATATATTTACATATGTGTCATTTATAAAACAATAAACTGTATTCCTTATTGGTTTGTTTTAACAATATTTCTTATTATGCTGCCTAATGAGATTATAAGGCTATGTTATCATACTGAATAGGATAAGTTTGAAGTCATTTATTTGTAGAGGATTTTGAGTAGGGTTTATAAAAAAAACGGTTAAACCGGTTTTTGAATTTTCACAAAAAGAAATAGAGAAAAGGGATTTTTATAACTTTATATTTTCTATAGTTCACTCTCACTTGCTAGAAAGCTAGGGTTAATTGTCTTTAGAGAATTGAATAAATAACCAAATAATCAACCCTCTAAATTCACATCACAAGATATTTATGAATTGATTTTTTCAATGTTTTTAATCAAATAATTTAATTAATTAATTATTCTATTTTAAGTCAAGGCTCGAAAACCGTTTTGTTTAGTTGGAAAACCCCGGTTTCGAATTTTAAAGACCGACAAACCCCAACTTTGAGAAACTAATATAGTGACCTCTTTTTTTAAGAAAACATTTTCCTATATCAGAAATGGTTTCATCATCACAAAAAGCAGGTTGCGTTTATTTGCTTCACTAAAACATTTCTTATCATATATAAAAATAAACAAAGCATCTTACATAATCAAATGTTAGTAATAAACAAAATAATTATTTTGATATTTTTCGCAACAATGAACATTTAAGATTACTGTTTTATAGTTATAAAATATTTGTTAAATATAATGCATTTTTTTCCTTATCGTGAAATTGAAAAACTTAGATTTTTAACAATTGTAATTCGTAATATAAGGGTTAACAGGTTGCGATCGCCAAGTATGTAGTTAAAAGATCAACAAGTTAAGCTATTCAATGTTTACTTTGCACGAAACCGGAGATAACGTTTTATTTATTTATAAAATTGTCTAGAGATATCGGAACTGCAATTGCATCAACCTTAAATTCCGAAAAATCTGCCTGGAAAATTGATTCGGAAAAGTGTTTTCAGTGATACTGCGCTATAGCTCCTCATCAGTATTCCACGTTGTTCCAGTGAAGTGTGCTCGTGTTCTACCACATCGTGATGTTGTTGATCGTACGTTTCTGTTATTGTTTCTAACATGTCTAGGTCATGCATCGTACAATCTGAGCTTCCTCAACGTCGGATTGGACGACAGTTTAACGTCTGTGATAATGAACAAATGCGATTCGGTTCGTCAAATGAACGAAAAATGTATGCAGTAGCTTAGTTGGTTGATGGCATTCGTCGGCAGCACGTTGTGTTGAATTTGTGTGCGCGCACGGGATGAAAATCGATCCTTATAGGAAACACCAGAACGCGCGCTCTTCAACCGACACTCACGCCACTAGCACTCCGACACTCCGATCAAACTTTCCTCGATCTCTTACAAATATTATTTGAACTTAATAAATTGAGGTACAATTCAATTCGAATATGAATAACTGCAATGAGGAAGCGAATGTCGGTGTCGGGGGTGCGCTTCCGAAAATAGAGAAATGCAAGGTATACAAGATTCGTTGGCTCGTTTTGGCTATTTTCGTCGTCTATTCCGCGTCCAATGCTATGCAATGGGTACAATACTCTATCATTTCCGAAGTCATCACCAACTACTACAAGGTGTCCACCGACTGGGTCAATTGGACCTCTATGATATACATGGTTCTCTACATACCATTCATCTTTCCCGGAAGCTACATACTCGACAAACTGGTGAGTAACTTTTAAACATCATACTTATTAAACGCAACTTGGTTACGCGAAGTTTTAGAGAAAGGAAGCGCTTGTACTAAATCCTTCAATTATGCTAATTACAATTAAAGTTTTAGATCTCGTTTCCATTAGTAATCTTCAGGTTAATTTCTAAACTCAAATCATCAATTACACTATATTATACTTCCTTTTTTTTCATCAAGTTTGTAAAGTAAAGTGCTTATCAATTCAAGTACAATTTAAAACAATAATTATAAATGTAATGAGTTAATATCTAAATATCATTGCTACACTAAAACCATGAATGACTATTAGAAAATATTATTTGTTTAAAGTACAAATCTACAATTACACAACATTTTTAATCAACAAGTCTAAAACATCTGTTAAAAAAATATTTATTTATTTATGTTATTTTTTTATGAAAAAAATGGAATCAATTAGTTCTTATTGTTTATTACATGTGGATTTAAGTTTACACTTGTGTATAATTAAATATAAATAATCCATTTAAAAAAAATGTTTTGAGTTCAATATAGTCGAAACCATTGCAAATGCTGATGGGTTACGACTACCTGCGCATTTCAAGGTTATTTCAAATCTTTTAGATGTGTAACCCTTCCAGTACAATTACCTTTATTATTGTTTCTTTTTATGTTTTCTTCCCTTCTTTTTTTTAATTTAAATTATTTTGCATAAAACATTAAAATAAATGTATTCTGTATAAAATGTTGGAACATAAACACAATTAGTGAAATGAAGAACATATTTTTGTTTTGGTTTTAAAAGTTAATAGTAAGTTGCAAATTGAAAATTAAAATTCTTGAAATTATATTTGTGAGATTATCACAATATTCATTGAGTCATAATGATCTTTTAAATGTACTTAGTATATATTTATTTTTATCCTAACATATTGTTAATACTTCTTTAATATTTTATATAATAAAAACAATATTTATACGCTCAAACAAATATTCACGACAAATTAAAATTTTGTTTTTATTTTCCAATTAAGATCGATGATATTTATCAAAGCATTGTAAAAATTTCAAGAAGGTAATTATTATTTTCAATCGTAACTTATACATATTATACAATTTTTCAAATGTTTTAGTTATTGCATTTTCTTTTCATATTTTGCTTACTGCTGTTATTTTAATTGCATATGTGAATGAACGTTTCAAGGTCACATTTGTGGAAACATATTTTTTAAAGCTATAAATAGGAACCAATGCACGTATTTTTTTTCATTACGAAGCTATTATACATTTTTTTACCTTGTGTATGAAGATTAGTTTTTTACACAAAGACACTGAATCTACAATACATACAAAACAAAATTCCACAAGGACTTCGACTTTTCTGAAGGCAATTCATATCTCCATTCTTTTGTAAATTAAAAAAAAACTATATATAGATTGATTATATTTTGCAAAAATGTTGAAAGGTGTATTTTTTTAATGAAATCACATTTTATATAAGATCTTGGCATTAGGATATGGTTAAATTACGACGGTTCAAGGACAATATGTTAATTCTTTCAAAAAAGGAAAATATCGAGTTAACTTTATTCATTTTGTTTGTGTATTTCACATCAAAATATTTTCCTCTATTTGCTTTTTTATATCACATTGTTTACTGGTAATATATACTTATCTTTGTTGTTGTATACGATTTATCTCTTTATTCACAGTTCACACTTAAACAATTTTCAAAATACATTCAACAATCACTGAATTTTATAAAACAATCGAAGAAAAATAAATAATTATAAGTATTTTTCCTTAAAATTTATTTGATTTGTTGAAACTGATTACAAAGATTTAATCTAAAGTATGTTGTCTCGAGATAATTTTTTTTTTAATTACAATCAATAGGGAGAGTAAGTTCAATTAATATTTTGTCCGATGGATCTGTATCAAAAAAAAAAATTATATTCTAGAAAAGTAGTAAACAGGAATAAAATCTTACAGCTATAAAATAATGAAGTTACATAAAATGGGAACAATGGGAACAAATATCATAATTATTTTGATAAGAATATAAAATTTATATTAAATATAGGTAAATAATCGTTAAATGTATACATTTACCAACGTATACAGGTAAAAGTTGAAAATAATAAATATGATACACTTGTTTGTATATTAAGATTAAAATGTAATTGAAATAATTTAAACGTTTATTTATTACAGTACAAGAAATGCTATAATTGCACAAAACTTTAGATATTTTGCACCTACACTTTCTCTTGTCTCGTATTTCTTTCTTTGTTTTGCATTTCTTGCAAATCCTTGTCCTCCAATAGTTAGAGATTATTTCGCAATAACAACCTCACTTACTAATATTTCAATATTAGGATCACATAATCAATAGATATGACTTCCTACAAGCAATTTACCAACGTCATTAGGTAAATGTATATATTTTCCGGAAATGGTGGGAAATGTAAGTCGTTATTATAATTATGAACGATAAATGTAGTTTTACGAAAAATAATGGATTACCGGACTTTAGAAACGCTAGTTTGATGAATAAAAAAAGGCTTGACTGTATAGAGAGGGAAAAAATATAAAATAAATTGTTTTATTAATTTATTTTAAAAATTTCCAAACCGGACTGATCATAGACACAATATATTGCTGTGTTTCCTCAAAAATAATTGTATTTATTTTCGATAAGTTTCATAAATTGTCATAAAGGTTAATTTTATAAATGGAAACTTCGATTACATTTGTAATTATAATTTCGCACAGTATTCACGAAAATTATCAAGGTGCAATTGAATATATTTGTTGATTAAGCGCGAGTTCATGTAATTATAGCTAAGATTTCTTCTTAGAAATTGAAATGTCTTAATTCCTAATCAATGCAAACCATTAACAAGAAATTGTATTGCGCAGTGCAAGTGTGGATTATTATATTTTTTTATGGAAAATCCGCTCACGTTATAAATTATAATTGCATGTGCGTGAGTCTTTATATAAGTATAAGTTCTTGTGGTTGCAACAAAAGTCAATTCCTTGAACGTGTTATTTTTTCGTTACTGATCAATGCGATTCAAAACAAATGTTACGCTAATATGAATAATGTTAATCATACTCGTTGTAATAAATAAAAACTAACATATAGTGAAACCTCGCTTAACGAGCGAATTTCCGGATTTTAACTCGTATAGTGAAGTCATTTTCAGTTGCGAGTTATTTTTCTTACAATTTATTTTGCTCGTTAAGCGGAGTGCTCGTTAAGCAAGGTTCCACTGTATTAATGATGGAAAGTCCACGTATGTTTATCGAATCACAACGTTAATATCGATTACGTAACGTAATCTCAATCAGATAACTTGTGATGTCGTATCATTTTCAAATTATAAGTGTTTTATGTAATCTTCAATTAAAAAATATATTTATAGACTTTTTGCATTGTGTAGATTTTTTATTAAATTTTATTTTAGAATAAATTGAAAACGACGATAGATGTCGACATAGCATTTTTAAATACTAAAATAATAGAAGATTTTATAATTCAGAAAAGTTATTATTAAAACATGTTCAACGCGCAATTCTTTTCTCAGTAGTTACATTTTAATTCTTTTTGAGTATTTTTGTAAATTAATGACTGTAATTCATGTATTATTTCCTGTTTTAAAAATTTCTTTTCGTCTTATTTTAAACTGATAAATATACAAAAATAACCATAAAATAACCGCAAAGATGGTTAAATATGTCGAGTTATTATACAAATTTTAAAATTTGCAATATTTATCATGTACGCACTATAGCTAATAGATATTTATTAATGCTAACACATTATCGGTATACACATTATCGGGAAATAGATGTCCCGTTTTGAGGATTTTTACTAATAAAAATACAAAAAAAAACACCTGAAAAGAAATAAATTATTTGGTCTTATATTTTTCTGAAGAACAAATTTGCTTAAGTGTATTTGTAGTTGATTTTAAATGCGAATAAAATTCTTGGCACGATTTACTTTCGTAAGTAACATGGCTTTAGAACTGGGACTTCTAGTTAAGTTTTTTCGTTTGTCCATAACTTTGTTTTGAAATAGTCATACTTTACTCTTTGTTTAAAAATGACTAATAGTTAATCAATCTATTATTTAAAGTATTTCATAACTGCCATACATTTAACAATCCGAAATAAACTTGGATATTTCAAACATTCCTTTGTTATTATTGTTGGACTTCAAATTGCAAATTGTATATGTAAGCTCCTTACGTATGCTGATAAAAAGAGATATGCATATAAGACATGTCAATTTTTGGCCAGAGTTCAAAGAACCCGCGTGTTTTTTTATAATTTTATTAATCACATCATACGATACAACGTAAATGGAAACAGACATTTTTCGACGATAAGATTACTATTTAGTAGATTCATCATGAATCATTGAGAAGTGAATGTTCTGTACAAATTATCTATATTCAAAGAGTAAAAATAATAAAAAGTAGACAAAATATTTGTAATATCTGTAAAAGTGTATAAAAGTGATCAAACGTGTTATTCTGATAATACGTATATCATTAATATAATTAATAGTAATATCATTAATATACGTTTTGCATAATAATTTGCATTATTTTAAATACTTGTAGTAGGATTAAGTTGATCAAATTATAATTTTAATATAGCGGAATAAAATCTGAATAGAAGGCATGATCAAATCGGGACAAAAACGACTTATTTATTTACACCAAGAAACTGGCATATTCTTTCCGAAAGCCACTGCGCGAGATGGGATACAAATTATGAAAAATTTTAAATGTCGCATGATACACCTTTAGGTATGTAAATTTTATATATAGACTTGTTACTCCAATAAAACGTTATTAATTATATACTTTTCTTAACTAAATTAAGCTATGGAAAATATTCATCTCCAAAATATTATTAAAGAAAGTTAATATTTTCTGTTATCGACTTGTTTTCCTTAAATCCAATACACTTTTCCGTTCCACTTTGACGTCTCTGTGGAAGTGACAGAACAATTACATCGTGAGATTGTTCTGATATTAGGTTGGGTGATGTAATACAACATGTTTTTATTTCATATAATTTCGGCGCGAAGCTAGGATCTGTAAAAATCGGTTCAGTTGACCGAAAGATTGTAAAAGTAAATGTATTTTCTAAATTACAGTCTGATATCTGTGCAATGAACGAGTTTGTGTTTCTTTGACAAACAATTCTCGCGGTTCATCGCATAATAAAATAATCGTGACCGACACCAAAATTTCATGTAATAACAATTTATTGTTTAATTATCATAATTATTATATGATTTAGCTTAATATTTTTTTTTAGAGTCAACAAGACTTAAATTTTTGGAAATAATTTATTACAGCAAACCAAGTTATAAACTTTTTAAATCATTGTAATTTTTAAAAGTTTTTTTTTATAAATAGAAGAAATAATTAAATTAACGCAATACTGAAAAATTCACAAACTTAGTAAAATTAAATTTAAATGTCGGTAATGAAAATTATTATCGCAAATTATTGAATATTCTGTAATTGCTGAAGCGGAGAATTATTTTTGAAATAAAGCCACCAAATGTGGTTACATTATTCATACTGCCTATAATATTCAAGGTCATACGATTCGCTCCGTCCAACCCATTAATCAACAATCAATTATTAATGAAACAATCCATCAGCCTTTTACCATCATACTTTGACGTTGACATACTTTGGCCATTTATACCCCCAGCAGATACAAAACTTTTCTTTTGTTCATTTACTATTCTTCTCCGTCTTTTTTTCAATTTATTTTTTCAAAAAAAAACTTTTTATGTACAGTCGCATAACATCGTGCGTAGTTCGAAAACTTTTTTTTGTTTGTTTATTATTTTGACTAATATTAAACTTTTTTTTCAGGGACTCAGGGTTTCAGTGATTATTGGAATAATCGGTACTTGTGCTGGTTCATGGATAAAGGTTGGTTCCGTACATCCGGACCGTTTCTGGGTTGGTTTCTTGGGACATTCTATCGTGGCTCTGTCTCAAGTCTTCATCCTCTCTGTTCCGGCACGTCTAGCTGCTGTCTGGTTCGGTCCTAGTCAGGTGTCTTCAGCTTGCAGTATCGGAGTATTTGGAAATCAGGTAAATACTTAGTAGTTAAAGGGCTGGCATACATTGGGGACAATACAAAATGTAAAGAATGAGAATATAAAACGTATATACGTACGTATGTTGAATTTCAACAATATAACATCGATAATCAGAAAATTTTGTACTTTTTAATAATTATATCACGTTTCATGCATAAAGTTATTTATTGCATACTGAGGTCACTTTGGTTTCATTGAATATTTGTAATTCAACCATGGCATACATATATATTGTGGCTCAATTATGAAGTAGGCTATTATATAAATTAAATGAATAGGTTCTTTCTTTCATTTATTTTAAAATTAATTTGAACTATATTCTTAAATATTTTAATTTCTCGAGCATTTTCTGATTCTTTTTCCAAGAACAAATGTTATACATTTATATATTTACTTCACATATATTGTATTTAAGTTTTTGGTACTATAATCTCTAATAATGAAATTTGTACAATTTTAAACTTTTTTATTGTAAATATATTTGAAGTAGTCATAAAAAAAGCGAGGTATATTTTTATTAATTAGCGTGATTCATAAAATGTCCAATTCAGTAATTCTTATTTAAATTTATAAAATTGCTGCATGTTGAAATTACTTGAAAGTACTTTTTGTTGTATTTAAAAAAAAGTAATCGATTGGAAAAACCTATTGACATTGCTTCTACTAAAGTAAATAACAAAGAACGACGGAAGTGAAAACGTTTAGAACTTGTTTTCGAGACAATATACTAGTATTGATTTAATAGTAGTCTTATTTTCACCTGGTTTATATACGTAACTGATACTTTATTACATAATATTTTATCAATAGTTAAATCTTTTTACTATTCACATCTTGTTTTTATCTTATTATTACCTTAAAAATATGTTATATGTTACCTATGAAATTATACAATAATAAATAATATTTATTGCAACTAACATAATAAAAACTTAAATAAGAGCTACTGACCATAGATCTTTATGCCCATTATATAATATTACATATGAACACATGGAGCAATGTTAATACGATGAATAAAATATATATAATAATTGCAATAATAAATTGTGAACACATGACTGAGATTTATATGCAATATCATATATTTCCTTTTACGCGTAATTTTAACCATTAAAACTATAGAATATACGTATCATTTATCACACTGAATTTATTCTATTCTCTTCGTTCATCATGAAAGTATTTATGATCTCAATTAATTGTATATATTCTGGAAATCATAAAGCGCAGGCACGGGTTCTCGGTGAATTTCATACAGAAAGTAACAGTAATATCGCACATCTATACAAAATGATATCACACATCGCAGGACACATTCCTGCTTACTTTGGCCGCGTGCTTACTCGCACTTTGGTACAGATTATATCAATCATTTGCAATGATGGAACGGACATCCTACTCACACTCGACACCAATTTTCTCTTTGCCACAGTTTAATTAATAAATCTACCAAATCCATATTAACATCCAGCTCATTCTGTCAACGTACCAACAAAAAAGAAAGTAAATAATAGGAAGGGCAAATTACAGCTAAAAAACGACAGAGGACCATAAACTATAGCTTATCGTATCTCTGCAGAAAGTCTGAAAATGAGCTGGGTGTATTTAGTATTTCCAGCGGTTTATTAAGTACGTTTCGGCAGAAATCTCGACACCCAAAGACTCCCCAGACAACCGTTCTAAAGGCAATCCACGAGAAAAAAGCTCTCATCCTAATACGAACAAAAATCAATGCGTTCCCTCTTTCCGCCAATAATGCATTTAATTACTTTACACTGCGACGAAAAAGTTTTCCTCATTAAAAACCAACCACGATGAAATATGTATTTTCGCAAATTTTGTTTTCTTCTTTGTGCAAATAAATATGGTGTGTATATATATATATATGTATATATATATATGTATATATATATATATATTACGCAATAAAACTGTTGTTATATATTTTCTACGTGTTATTTATTGCACGTGATGTGTGTTTGTGTTCGTGTGGACATGGATTATATTTCAAGAATGTTATTTATTTTTAATCTCATAATACATATGGCAAATAAAAGTAATGCTT